CCTCTAACGGCTGACACTTTTTCAGGATCCTTGCACACACCTTCGGCAGAGATGACATGTCCGAGGTAAGTCACTTCCTGTCTGATTAATTTGCATTTAGCGGAGCTCAACTTTAGATTGGATTCTTTTAGTTCTTGAAGCAGCTTTCTAAGATTTTCAGATGTTGTTCAAAACTCTTTCCGACGATGATGATGTCATCCAAGTATATCAGACAGGCTTCGTAGGAAACACCTTTCAAAACAGTCTCCATTAGGCGTTCGAGTGTAGCCGGCGCATTGCAGTGTCCAAACGGCATCACCTTGAACTGCCAATGTCCTTGTCCCGTAATAAATGCCGTCTTTTTTCGGTCATCAGAGTGTATTTCTACCTGCCAATTCTCACTCTTTAAATTAACTGTTGAGAGCCATTTGCTTCCAGAAAGAGTGTCCAGAATGTCGTCAATTCTAGGAAAAGGGTAACTGTGTTTCTTCGTAACCTCATTCAACCGGCAATAGCCAACACAAATTCTTTCTTTCTGACGTCTTTCTTTCTGACGCGGACGATGGGATTGAGGACTTGCTGATGGCTCGATGACATCGCCTTCTTCCATATCCTTCAAAAGTGCTTGTACCTCTATCTGTTTAGCAATCGATAGACGTCTCGGAAGTTGCTTGATTGGTGGATGATCACCGGTGTCGATTCTATGTCGCGTCAAAGTGGTTCGATCCAAGTCAGAAGACGAGCGGGAGAAAACATCTTGAAGATCTTCAATGATACGTTCGGCAGCATTCCTCTCTTCATCGTTGAATTGAGCAATAACTCCGATTTAATATTCTCTGAAGACACGGATTCGGGGATGTTACACTTTTTTCAACGCTGGTCACTGGAGTACATGTTGCAACACTTACTTTCTCTCAACGGCTCACAATAGGTCGGCAAGTGCTGAGGCTACTAGTGCTCCTTTTGGGCTGTTACAGTTCTTGGGATATTCTCTGATGCCATAGCGGAAATTTCTATTTTTGTCTATGGACCTAGGAAGTAAAAACTCTATTCTTGCGGGTATTGTGACATCGTCTTGAGCTATAATTTTGTGGATAGATTTCACTACTTCATGATTCATTCCAAATAGGAATAGTAGTTATATTAGTAGTCTCACAGCAGTTATATCTTAAACTACTAAAACGTTGAATAGAACTCAACTCAAAACACTGAGGAAGTTAATCCAATCTCACCGCGAATTCGCTACAATAAATAACAGCACTAAGTAAACAACTGAATTGAGATTTTTTATCCGGCTTTTATAAGCTTTTAAATCGTGCACGAGAACATTCTAGTATAATCTATTTTCCTGATTTTTTTTTAGATAGCAAAACAGTACAATTACGAGATATCTATTAAATTTTTAAAATTGTTAAATGCGCGTGCTCTTGTATTTTTACCTGTTCAGCGTAGCTTTCTTTTTAAACTCGACGCGCGCAGTATTGCACGGGAAGATGAAACAATTTAATTACAATTCTACTAAAATAGCAAACTGAATACAAAAACCGTAACAATACAAAAGCAAAAATGAAAAGAATAATTAAAAAATACGAAAAATGTTTAAACTGATCTGTAATCATATTTGACGTCGGTACTTCAGACTCCTTGATCTTCACATGATTGAATCTTAAAATAGAATAGCTTAGTGAACGAGACGTTTTAACAGCAAATAGAACATTTATTAAACTTAACAATAAACTAACGTAACGTGAAACAAAAGGAGTATCGGTCCGCAGCTCTTTTCGACCTACAGTAAAGAGAGTACTGTAAGTTCTTGAATCGTAGCAGTAAGCCAGTAGAAACAGTGGTAACTCCTTCTCCCAGTCCTGTTGGTTTCTAGAAACCACCAATGACATTATTAAGAATGGTTCGATTAAACCTCTCTACCATGCCTTCCGACTGGGGATGGATGTAAAGGCGTAGTTTGGGTCTTGTCAATGCCGAGTAGCTTGCAGAGTTCTTTGGTCAAAGCCAAAGTAAAATCTCTTCCTTCATCGGAATGTAACTGAAGAGGACTTCGACTGGAAATCCAGTCTGTATCTTTACCTCTGCTACTGTGGCAGCCTCTTAATCAATAATAAGATATGCTTCAGGCCACTTGGTGAAGTAATCAATGACAACAAGGATGTTTTCGTTGCCATCAGCAGTTCGTGGCAGAGGTCCCAAGTTGTCAGATGCGATACGTTCAAAAGACGTTCCTATGTTGTAACATTGCAGCTTCCTTCGGCTGCGTTCTTCGGTCTTTTCTGACTTGCGCAGGCCAAGATAGGCACCACTTTTGCACGTTATACTTGCATTATTCCATTCTAGAAAGCGCTACGAATTCTTTGCAAGGTCTTCATTATTCCGAAGTGACCTCCTGTAGGGCTGCTATGCAGTTCTTTAAAGACATTCGGAATCCGGAATCTTGGAAGTATCAGATGCCATGGAAAGCTTTTCGATCGTCCGATTCGAATTTCCGGTACAAGACGCCGTTTCAAATATAAAGTGAATCCCAAACTGCACAATATTGTTTTGTTGTAGGCCTACAGATCGAAATGTCCTTCATGATTCATTCCAAATAGGAATAGTAGTTATATTTAGTAGTCTCACAGCAGTTATATCTTAAACTACTAAAACGTTGAATAGAACTCAACTCAAAACACTGAGGAAGTTAATCCAATCTCACCGCGAATTCGCTACAATAAATAACAGCACTAAGTAACAACTGAATTGAGATTTTTTATCCGGCTTTATAAGCTTTTAAATCGTGCACGAGAACATTCTAGTATAATCTATTTTCCTGATTTTTTTTTAGATAGCAAAACAGTACAATTACGAGATATCTATTAAATTTTTAAAATTGTTAAATGCGCGTGCTCTTGTATTTTTACCTGTTCAGCGTAGCTTTCTTTTTAAACTCGACGCCCGCAGTATTGCACGGGAAGATTGAAACAATTTAATTACAATTCTACTAAAATAGCAAATGAATACAAAAACCGTAACAATACAAAAGCAAAATGAAAAGAATAATTAAAAAATACGAAAAATGTTTAAACTGATCTGTAATCATATTTGACGTCGGTACTTCAGACTCCTTGATCTTCACATGATTGAATCTTAAAATAGAATAGCTTAGTGAACGAGACGTTTTAACAGCAAATAGAACATTTATTAAACTTAACAATAAACTAACGTAACGTGAAACAAAAGGAGTATCGGTCCGCAGCTCTTTTCGACCTACAGTAAAGAGAGTACTGTAAGTTCTTGAATCGTAGCAGTACAGCCATAATAGATTGGCTACTTGTAATGACAGAAAGTAGCGTAATCATGCAGCCGGAAAGTATCTGCAACGAGAAATCCAAACACAGCTTCTATGCGGCCTTCCGCCGCTGTTTCCCGGAAGCATTCAAGAAGATTTTAATGGCAAATATAAATCTAGTATAGCTTTAAAAAAATAAAGCATACTTAAAATTACACGAAAATAACGAAATAATAAATGAAAGTATATTTTTACTTGAAAACAATAATAATTGTTGCCATTCAGCAAAAAAAGGAAAGTAACAAAAATATAAGTTGAAAATCATAGGTGAAGTAGTAGTTAAGTTTAAATAACGATATTAATTATTGTACAATCTTTAATACCATCTGAAAAGTTTTAGGAAAAATGTTTTAATAAATTCAGCAAACTTGCCAAGAAATCTTTGTTAGTATTTACTTACAACTATGATATTTCAACTTATATTTCCTAAAATATCATCGACATACGCGCCGAATTTTGTATGCTGTTAATAGTTTGCTTTGGTTCAGAACATTGTTCTTGTCATAGATTCGAAAGCTGAGTAATTAATAGCAATAAAGTTTTACTGTAATGCTGGAGTTAATCCTGATGTTTTCCAGGCAAACAATGAAATGGTATAAACTTAATGCTCTGCCGATGATTCTGAGGTAAAACGACAATCACCTGCTGATTTGGAGGAGATTCACCCCAGCCGAAGAGATTTGATTTTAAAAGATTCAAGTATCATGTTGATGATTTTTATTAGAAACGATGAATTCATAAGATATTCGTTACATAGGGACAGACGCTGAACTTTATGTGCTATAAAGACATAATGAACAGACTTCTGAAGAGAATTCTTTGCATTCGACTGGTTGTTGTTGTGACTTATATCACTTATGTGTCAGTAACATGAGAACAAACTTTCGAAATTCATCGTGGTAAGGGCTACAAGATAGCGTCTCTCGTTCGCAAGAGCCTTGAGCACTATATAGGTTACAGTACGACTTTTACCAGTTCCCCCCCCCCAGTTTTGATTGAGGGCTACCTCGGGGGGGGGGGACTAGTCCGAGGGTTTTCCACTCCTCTTCCACCAACGCCCCCCCGATCCATCAATCGCTGCGTAGTTTAGAGTGCCCTCATACCGCACAAGCACTATACATTTGCAAACATACATGCCTTTTCCGGGATTTGAACCCAGGCCCTTCGGTACGGCAGTTAGCTTCGATAAGCACTATCCCCGTTGGGCGCCAAATTAGACTTGAGAATGGTCAATCGAATAAGTGATTTCCATTGAAAAACAGTGCGACGGCAGTTATTTCCATTCTCGTCATATAGTTTCTAACAAAATGAAGTATCGTAACTCTCAACTATCAGTATTATTCTCTAGATAGAACCCTGCAGACTACTTTTTCTTAAGGGAAGTGGCATCTCTAAAATTATTATAATCTTAGCCACAGACTTAAACAGTAAACCAAAAGATGAGTAATACTAAGAAATCAATCCCCAGCTGCGTAAATGTGCTAAACTTATAAGTACTGTATAAGGAAGCTAAGATGTAAAAAATGTTGATTTCTTCAATTTTTGATTTTATTCGAATTTAGTCCTAAACCTTTGTAAACAAACTACGTATTATTTCTATGACTAACACCAATTCTTTATGTTCTACAAATATGTATTATTTCTATGACTAACATTAATTCTTTATGTTCTCCAAATATAGCGTTATGAAACCCTATTTGAAGTGTGTGCTAGAGCATGGCAAAGAATGCCCTAACTATTCAAAAAGCTCTTATTATCAAGTTTATGAACAACAATTTGAGATATTTTCTAGAACTTGCGATAAGGGTGATGATCTTAGAAAGAGTAAGTTCGATTTTTATTTATTATAAATAAAGTATAATTTTCGCTTCAAATTCATTCCAACATTTCCAGTATAATTCGTAATATATTTCGTTTCATAATAAAGCATTTTATGATTTTAATCTGAAATATATTTCGGTCTTTATGATGCAAATTTCATTTTTCTTACATATAATGTGTAAAATATTTACATTGCCCAAATCTGCCAATTTGTTCGCCAATTTCTTCAAAACAATTCCCGGTGGATCGCTGAATCTCCATGATTTTAATTTTTAGCTTTTACAGAGGAAAATATTTCCTGGCAATAAGTCAAATTTATTGATGAATGAAAGTTAAATTGGGCGAATTCCATTCCTCCATCCCTAGTGATTTTCAGAATAATTTTTCTTGTTACATTTATAAGGCATTTCTCCCGCCTTCTTAGTATGTCTTCGTTGTGTAGTGGTCAGCACGCTCTGCACGTATTCAAGAGGCCGGCGGTTAGAGTCCCGGCGAAGGCGTTGCTCATTTTTCATCTCTCCTGCTTAGAAATAACCTAATAGCTCTAATTTTTATTTCATCAGAACTGTATTTTTTCTTATTATATTTTATTGACTTTTATCTTATCAAATTTCCTTTTATCTTAGTTGTCTTAATCTAGACTAAATATTAGTAGATTTTTAAATGAATATTCAAACAATGCTTGTCAGTTAATATTTGCATTTGTAGTATTTTTACTTCATTATATGGTACATTACTACGTTTATCCAGATAAATTCTATTAACAGTGATTATTAATTTTATTTTCATCGTATTTAAAAGTACTTCGATGGATAGAAGTTTTTTTTTTTCCCTTTTCAGTATTTTTCAGCATATAATAGTATAAGAAACTTAAATTAGCTGAAGAACATAAAATTTAGAATATGAAATTGAATACTAATATTTTTGTACCAGAGCTGCATTACAAACGGCACATCAACGTGAATCATGCCTTATAATATGAATTGAAGTAAATTTGGAGCTCCTTTGAAATGGTATCGCTACCCCGCGTGAGAACAGGTTTCTCACGGTTTTCTTCCAAAATTCTCTTGGTTTTTCAGATTTGAAGGTTGGTAGTTATATATTGTTATTATAACTTTCTTATTGTTATTATAATATTAACTCTGAAACACGTTCGCTTAAATGTTTTCCTAAAATAGTTTAATACGCATGCACATTAGTGGTCACGAAACGTTTTTCGAAGAACCCTGCACGCTCTTACTGATTCCACATACTTATCTTGCAAATGTTCAGGCAATCAGAATCAAATTTCTTTTAATATTAATTCAGTATTTTCAAATTTCGCTAAAACATTTTTGGTATCTTTTGTTATCGAGACCAGATTCAGAAACGTACGTATGTATGCACGTACGTTTATATGTACGCTATACGCACGCACATACAAATATATGTGCACACATAAATACATATATATTATTGCGTAAGTACGGGTTCGTAATAGATTGAATGCACAAGTCCGATAATAGTTCAATAAAATTTATTTTTATGAAAAGAAATATTTCAGAACTCTGGAATTTTCCACAGAAATATTCGTACAAGTGTTCACAGTATCACACAGTATAATCACTAGTTACACTTCAAACAATTAAGGACGTTAAATATAACGCAATGCAAACCGAATCTAAAGAGAAAGTGTATCTGAACTCTCAAAAATTACAACAGCAGCTAACTAAACAATTCACAACAACAATAACTAAGCAACTGAACTCAGATGCTCTCCCCTTGGCTTTTATAGTTTTTAACCGGCCGCGAGATATTTCTAGTACTGTCTGCTTCTCGAAACTACTGGAGAGCAATATGCATGTGGAATTGCGGTTACAACTAACATAGCGATTAATTACATTTATTAAGTTTCAATACAAATTACCGAGATATCCATTTACTCAATGTTAGATGCGCGTTCCCCTGTACTCTTACTTTTCCGGCATAGCTTTCTCTTAAAATTTGCCTCGCGCTACAAAACACAGAAAAATACAATAATTTTATTTCTACTAAAATTACCTATGTAAATACAAAATTTGTAACAATATTCATGTATGCAGGTATATATGTAGGTATGTACCTGCATACATGTAGGTATGCAAGTATGCAGGTACCTAAGTACCTGCAGGTATACGTGCAGGTATACATGTAAATGTAGGTACCTACCTACCTGTATACATACCTACATACCTGCATGTATGCATACATATTACATATTACATATACATGCATATTACATATACACATACATCCATGCATACAAGCCTACATACATACATTTCTGAATCCGGTTCTGATAACAGAAGAATGCCAAAATTTTAATGGCAAACCAGCTGCAAAACTAAACGTCTAAAACATTTCAATTGGAAAATGTAAAATGGGGCTATGTGACAAAAGTCAAATTTTACAGCAGCGGGGAAAAAAACTATACCATTCCTCACAAGAATGTCAGAAGTTAATAGCAAAAAATTATGAGATCGCTGTAACTAGGATCCATGTAATTCACCGTTCTTCAATTCTCACACAACTGCAATATAGATACGAGCAACTGTTGGTGTAGCCATTCCGCTAAGCTAGATTCGAATCTAGGTAGAGCTATCAATATTCGGCTTACTATAACCCCCCCACGGATTTATTTTTATTGTCATTCAATGGATATCTATTTAAAACAAAAGACGCAGTTGTTTCAATTTTATTGAACGAGGATCATCAGCATCATCTAGCTGCGAATTTGATTGCCATGTTTTTAAATTTCCGGATAAGATTCCATATTTAGTTTTTATCAATGTAATTCTTTAAACAATGTGACTTCTTCAACAGATTTAAAGGTTTCTTCTTATCTTGATACTCTTTCTAGACTGTCAACTTTGTTACTACTGTTATTATTTGCCTTTGCTTTAAAAAGATTTTTGAAAAATGTAAAACCTCTCAACAATTGCTAAGGTAACTTTAAATAATTATTCTGACAAAAATTCAAGATTTTAAAGTTTTAATTATATATATATAGATGTAAGATAAAAATGTATGAATCAGAATTATAATATAATTATAAATATTAATTCTTCCTCTCTATTCTAAAATCGTAATAACTTGTCTGCATTGCGTCATTCAAATAAATTATGCGATCTTACGTAACCGTTAATACCAGATGCCTCTTGACAACCAATCACCGAATTGTAAACCAAAACTTTTCTCTTCGCGTGCTTCCATCTTTCATAACGACGCACTTCAGCTTTTGCCCTCTACTCTGCTAAGATGTAATTTTGCTGGCTTGCTTTCTATCTTAACAATATATAAAAATGTAAATCTTTTGTGAAAAGGCACGACTAGTGCCAAGTGATTGTGGCCACAAATATCAATTGGAAATAAAAATGGAATTAAAACTGCCTCGACTGCCAATCTTTAAATACTACGCAATCAAAATTCTTCTTCAATATGGGTCTAATCACGCATCTACAGTGTTCCGTCATTTCCTTTGCTTTTATTATGACACATATGTAGTGGGGGAGTTGAAGATGCTAAATAACAATTCCAACGTTGTTTTCCACACCACAGAATATTTAATAAAGGAAATCAGAAGAAGGTATAAATTAGATTAAATACAAGTGCCGTTTGATGCAAACAGGATTCTGTATAGCTTTTGCCAGTCTTATCACAAAACCGATTAGTGCCTACTCGCACTTGCTGATGTATTATACAGTCAATTTACCACCTTCGCGTGGAAAACTATATTTTTCTTACTCTATACCTTCACGTGTAGACAGACATCTCACCACCTTCGCGTGGGATAGCAGAAGAAAGTCTCTGTCATACTCCTCTTTCACCTCGCTGCTGGCGCATCGGTGAAGCCCTCTGGTGGTTGTGTCGCTCTTACAGATACCACAGCTCGTCCGTCCTGACACTTTTTCGTCCTCGAAAACACGGATCAGCAACACTGGAACATCAAGACAGCACCTGAAAATAAATTTAAAAAAAACAAAAGAAAAGAAAAAAAAAAGAAAGAAAGATGTGTGTAAGAACCATACATAGTTCTATATAGTAGAAGTCCACGGCTTCATGAGATCAGCTGCTGTAGTGGTACATCCAGGACCTTCATGGTGTCCCACTTTTTCCACTTGGTAATGATCTTTGCCTTTCCTCGCTGTTACACGATATGGGCCGAAGAACTTTGACCTTAACTTTAGACCACCTCCATACTGCGTTCTTTGTATGGCAACTAAGTCGTTCACATTGTATACTTGTGCCTCTTTTCTCTTTTTGTTGTGTGTTTTTCCATTCTCTTCCTGAATTTTTAGAATGTTTTTCCTTGCTTCCTCTCTCATATCTTCCCCATCTTTCATCATAATATTTCTTTCTTCTTCAAGAATTTCCATAATCTTTAAGTCCTCTCGATTTCTCATTTTAACACCAGTGAGCAGCTCAAATGGGGAACTCTTTGTGCTTCTGCTCTTAGTGCTGTTTAAGATCCTTTGTATATCTCCAACATATTTGTACCACTTAGTTGGATCATTTATGGATAATTTGGATAGGACTGGAATCAGAGTGAGATGAATACTTTCCACCTGTCCATTTCCTCTATGAACGCCTGTAGTTGTAAATATATCCTGGATCTTCTCTTGACTACAGTAATCTTCATACTCCTCTTTCACCTCTTATCACTCAAGTCTTTAGAGGTAAACGCCGTAACTTTGTCACTTATAATTCTCAAAGGATTACCGAAAGTTGATTGTTGCAGTTTCAGCTTCTGCAATGCCTCATGAGCTGACGTAGACTTTACTGGATAGAGCCACACGAACTTTGTGAATGCATCAACCACGGTTAAGATGTGATTGTAGTTCTTATTTTTCGAAGGTAATGATCCTATAAAATCGATATGAAAAGTGCTCAAAGGGATACTATCTTTTGGTATGGGATTCAGCAACCCGTCGCTCGTACCTCGTTTTCTGTCGCACAAAATACATTCTACACAATTTGAAATAACTTGTTCAATTCGTTTTCTAAGGTTAGGAATATAAAAGTCGATTTTCAGCAGACCTTCCGTTTTAGACACTGCGAAATGTCCCTTGTGGATACTACGTATGATTTCTAGTTCTAATGCTTCGGGTACCACAAGTAACTCACGACCACTGTCAAACTTGTATAATACTCCATTTTTCACTAGAAAATCTTCCTTTAGTCCTTGCTCGACTAAGGATTTTAGCAACTGGAGACGCTCGTCACTTCTTTGCGCAGCTGCAATTTTGACTGTAACTTCTCCCTGAGAACAAGTAACCATCATGACAGCGTTTCTACTTAATGAATCCACATGCTTCATTTGCTGCCCAGATCTGTGGAACAATTTCATAGTCAAATTCTTCTAGAAGTAATGCCCATCTCGCACTTTTTAGGAGTTAAATCCTTCTTGAACATAGTCTTCTGGAAGGTGTCACAATCCTGTAACTCTTCTGACCTTAGATCCTAAAAGGTAATTCCCTGAATTTCTTTAGAGCTTCTACTCTAAAGACTTCAAGTTCATAACTAGTTAAAACTTCATGCTCATAACTAGATAGCTTCTCTTGTTGTAGGACTAGTTTTTTTACTCATGAGCAAAATGGGGTGTAACTGCCCATCATCTGACTTTTGTAGGAATACAGCGCCGAAACCATGACTGCTTGCGTCTGTATCAATTTCTAATGTGCTCCTTGTTTAAAAATATGAAGAACCAGACTTGTGGATAAAAGTTCTTTCAATTTATTAAATGCATCTTTTTGCTCAGGCCCAAATTTGAATTCTGCTCCGTTACGAAGAAGATCACTTAATGGTTTCGCTATTTTTGAATAGTTGCCAATAAATTTCCTAAAATACCCAGTAATACCCAAGAAACTTTGAATCTGCTTAAGGTTTTTCGGGAAATTTTGAACAGCCCTGGTTTTTTCAGTAGAGGGGCGAATTGTACCATCCTCAATAACATACCCGAGAAATTCTATTTTTCTTTTCAAAAATTGGCATTTCTTAAAATTTAATCTCCAAACCGTATTCTTTGGCTACTTCTAAAATGCGTTTCAACTTTTCTAAACCTTCTTTCTCGTTTCGCGCTGGAATAATAAAATCGTCCATGTAAGTAACAACAGTGTCATCCGAATTAAATCTCTAAACACATTAAAAAATCTTTGGAACACACTAGGGACGTGCACAAACCAAAAGGTGCTTTTAGAAACTCGTACAAGCCTGCATGAGTAATAAATGCCTAATATTTAGTGCAGTTTTCCTCCACTGGAACATGGAAAAAAACCATTTTTTAAGTTTAATGTCGAAAAAAACCTTTGCTTCACCCAAACGATCTAAAACCTCTTCTACTTGTGACATAGGAAAAGAATCCTTAACTATTTTTTTATTTAACTGCCTGAAGTCAACACAAATACTTGTCTTCCCACATTTTTTTCTACACAAAACAATTGGCGAAGCATATTCTGAACACGACGGCTTTTATAATCCCATCCTTAACCATTCATCTATTTGATTATCAACATTTTTTTTGGTCAGCAAAAGGAATTCTCCTCGAACGCTGAGAAACTGGAATATCATCTTTCAATATTACTTTCATTTTTAAGTCTGTACTGCGCTGCTTTTCTGACGGTTTATACTCATTAATAAGAGTGGAAACAGTATTGCGTAATCCTTCATCTTTATATGCCATAAATCTGTTTCGCTGTCTCACTCAATGGCTGCAGAAATAAAAGACAAAAAATTCCTTTCCGACGCGACAGAATCATTTTCATATTGTGTAAACATCACTCCCTCAGCAGAGATGCGAGCTAGACTCGAAGGCGGTATAATACATTCCGTTATTAGGTCAGAGACCATAGCTGCTTCTATCTCTTTTTGTTTTTTGCTTTCGCATACATTTCCGCTTTAACCACGTGACCAAACGAACTTTTGAGTTCTATACATCCACTTGATAATTTATTCGGAAAAAGGGATTTCTTTACAACTATCAATTCACTTCCAGAATCTATTAAGCATTTTATTTTCTTACCATCAATCAACAGTTCAATAAATTCTAAATTATTTCTAGCTGCATTATTCGATCCAATCTCTTAACCCAGATACCTTTTTTTGGAGACAAATTCTCCTCCTTTTCTAACCCGTTTGGGACAATTTCTCGCAAAACGAAATAATTCCCCTCTACTCCCACATACATAGCAAATACGTTCTGCTTTACTCTGATTTACAAGCTTTCCTGAATCCTTGAAATTGCTCTGAGCTTTTCTTTTTGGAAAAATTAAGCTTTTTATTTTCTGCATTTTCGATTCGTACTGACCACTAAAGCATATCCAATGATTGACAAAGTTACTGATATCAGCTAAAGATTTACCCGTGGATGAATAAAATAAATCACATTCTCTCCCCAATTGATTTGGTTGGAACCAACTTTGGCCCTTTCGCAGCACTAATATGTTCCTTTGTTTTAGAATCAAGAGTTTCATACAACTTATCAGATACAATAAGATCACACAATTTCTTAAAGTCATCTACCTCTCTTAACTTACAATAATAATTGAAAGTTGCACTGAGTCGAGACGCGAACTGAACATGCGATTCAGATGAATGTCTCTGCGCATTTTTTAAATTGTTCAAACATTCACGCGGTGTCGGCTGAAATTCTTTCAAGATTAGAGTTTTTAATTTATCATAATCCGCGATTTCTTGTTCAGAAACATACGTTAAAACATTATTACATTTATCACCTAACAAATTAATCAACACTTCTGATTTTAACTCCACTGGTACGCTTTTAGTAGTAAAAGCTTTCTCAAGTGACTGAAAAAACAAATGCAGAGCTTCCGGTTTTCCTGGGGTACAGCTATAGTTAGTGTTTTGATGCTTTTAATGATATCTTCAACACTAGTTTGCACGTTTCTTCTATCACTCGATAATGATTGTGATTTTAAACTTTCTAGCTCAATCTGCTTCTCAATTTGAGCTAATTTAAGACGTTCGATCTCTAACAGATAGTGTTCATTACTTGTTTTAGGCGTCCGATTCTCTGCGATCGATTTGAAGACGCCACGAACAAATTCAACGTTCGTTTTGAAAATATCAGAATTTTCGATAATTTTTCTAATGTCAGCTTTTTTAGCATTTTCTGGAACAGTCTGTTCAATTTGTTCCGCAATTACTATTAAATCACTTTTCTGTAAATTATTTAAGAAACTCATTTTAAAAACGAAACAAAAGTATCACTATCTTCAAGAAAGAAATAAAGCAAAGTTTTCACAGTACCTTCTCTGAAGTATCCAAGTATGAAGTATCCAAATATTGCGGTCAGAGCCCCCAGATTTTCTGTAGTGGGGGAGTTGAAGATGCTAAATAACAATTTCAACGTTGTTTTCCACACCACAAAACATTTAATAAAGGAAATCAGAAGAAGGTACAAATTAGATTAACTACAAATAGGATTCTGTATAGCTTTTGCCAGTCTTATCACAAAACCGATTAGTGCCTACTCGCACTTGCTGATGTAGTATACAGTCAATTTACCACCTTCGCGTGGAACTAACTAATAAACAACTACCACTTCACGTGTAGACAGACATCGCACCACCTTCGCGTGGGATAGCAGAAGAAAGTCTCTGTCATACTCCTCTTTCACTTCGCTGCTGGCGCATCGGTGAGGGCCTGTGGTGGTTGTGTCGCCCTTACAGATACCACATATATATATATCATTAAATAAATTTTATTTGCATCTTCTTGATGAATATAACTTCAATTTAAATTTAACGTTTCATTAAAGGTGTTCTTCGGATTTTACAGTTGGAAAACTTTAATATTTAGATTTTCTCGTACGATTCTTTAATTATGTTTCTTATTTTTATTTTATATGAATAATTCCAAAGGTTGGATAAGCTATTAAGACTGAAGGAAATTCAAGATTGGTGTCCCGCATAATAAATGTATTTATATATATATATGCAACTGTACCTGTAAATCTAATCTATAAGTTTATATTTCAGGTTTGTTAAATAATGCCAAATGTCTAAATGAACATAGACATCATACCGAAAAGAAATGCGGAGAATTGTTAGTGTTTCAAGACGAAATGACCAAGGAAGTCTGCGAGTATGTATGATTCAATAATTTGATCATTAGTTTAATAAAGATATTAATTAACATTTTAATGATTTTACTCTGTAAAGTTAATGATTGATGCATTTAAAAATGTTGAAGTGATAAGAATTAAGTATACCTAAAAGGGAGTAACAAATTAAAAGAGCTAATTAATTATTATTTTAAATTAATAATTAAATTTTATGCTAATTTGCCTAAACATTTGTTACTCTTTAAGTGTTATGAATTGTTCAGACAAAAATTCTTTAAATTTGACTAATAGTCAGAAATAAAAGGTACTTAAAATGTTTTCGAAACATGTTGTTTCAAAATAAAGTTATTCCATCATTACTTCATACAGAAAACAAAATAACAAAAATTTTACGTTATTGTGCTTAATTGCTTTCAGTGCATGTTATCTGATCACAAAAGTTTCTCACTGATGGGATGACTGAAATACGCAATATAATATTGAGTTGTGTTCTTGGCAACAAAGATTTTTGAATTTAATCCTTTTTCATTATTTTGCTCTGAAAATTCACATAAAAATTTTGTTCTATTAAATCCAGTACTTAGATTAGGTTCTAGAAGCCAAGGTAAGATTTCAACACTGATAATTTTTTAAATTATAAATTTTGCATGATCATTGGTTATCAAAGAATGGAAAATACTGCAACAATTCGAATTTGGACCATGCTTGAATCTCAAGTACCTTGTTGATTCAATGCAGTTGACAGCTGGTGATTGACGTTTAAACTGTTATAAGAATTTCATAGTGGACATGGAAATTTTGCTGCATCATGACCGTACAATTGCTTGAAAACCTTCGCCAAGAATGGTCAAACCTATTGGTTATTACTCGTTTATCATCGAGAACATTACCCAGTGCGCGTTACAGAGTATATCACTGAAGTGTGGATGCTGAAAAATCAGTCTGCATCACTGCAATTTTATCAGGAAGGCAGGGGAAATGGCACAGATAGGAAAGACAAGCTTTATACTGTATCGAAATCAAATCTAAGGGTTTTGGTAGCAATCAACTTCCGCTTACTATTAAGTCTGCCAAGATGGTATGGCCATAGAAGTGTGAGTAATGAATTTCATAAAGTTTGGCCAAGAAATGCTATGACACGCAAAAACATTTGATGCTGTGCAACAAATGATTATTCCAGTACATCGTGTTACAGAAAACGATAGTATGGCATTTTTGAAATTTGTAAGGACCTGAAAGCATTCAGTTTGGATGCGATCATTTAAAACTGTTTGAATTCCACACATCTCAGCTCAAATTTAAAAAGAGCGCTGATATCAAATAGTGCAAGTAAATTTTCAAAAGATTCAATTTTGGAGTATCAAAAGCTATCTTTAGCATTGAAACAAATAAAGACACATGTACTTACTCCTATGAACGCGAAACAAAACAACACTCTCTGTATTTCAAAGTGAAACAAATACTACCAAAATATTCCAGTACGAAGTGTTTCAAAGAAAACAATTGCTGCATTTTTTACTAACGGCATCACATTGAAATTGCTTTATAATCACCATATACATGAATCTACTTCTCCTTAAATCTAAATTTAATTCATTTCTAGTTAAAGGCATTAACTTACGTACAGCTGGATTTGCTTCGCTTTGTTGACCGTATGCTAAATGTGCTGATTCTGTTTTAAGTTTTGATTGAAAATAACCACCAGATACTTAGAGCTCGTAATTTTATGGATTTCCTCATCGAAGAAAATTAATTTTTTGGGTAAGAATCATTTGAGTTTTAAGGTGACGTATAACACGTAACTGAGATTTGCTTTCGGTAATGAAGATCCTCATTTATAGCACCAATCTTCGATACCTTAATTTGTAATTTGTTGACAGAGAGGCAATGACAAAGCACACGAAGCTATGTGTCCAAGGGAAGGGATGATTTCGGGGAGGACATTCTTGGTAAAACGGGTTAGTATTTAAGTTACACATGAGGAAAACGACGTAAAACACTCATGCAACTCATGCAAAGTATTTTCTTGGATTCGAACGCGAGTCAAACTACCAGTATTCAGCTGTCTTAATCACTCAGGCACTGACATAATCACGTCAAGACAGATTTTATGTAATATCCGTGTTTTCTACATAGAAGGTTAGCAACAGATTTCGATCATTTTCTGGCTTAAGGACTCTTGTGACCAACTTGCAGTAATAAATCTAATGGAGAAAAAAGCTACAGCTTGCCTAAGCATGAAATATGGCCTTCAAGGAACGATTTGAAAAGGAGAGTAATTTCTCCACTGAATAACAGCAATGCTAATTTATATAGAAATTCTTTATGCAAGACCCAATTGAAGGATTTCACTTGGTACAACCGAAGATGGCATCTTTTGTTGTGAACTGCAGTCTGCAGGGACTTCATGATCCCCACCAGCTATTATGCGGTATTCAATTATTTCCCAAACATCTGGTAGGAGAGCAAAGTACAGTTGTATTCTGTTAACAATTATTCTTCCAAAATGTTTGCTTACTTTTGAATAAAAGTTAATTGGTCTGTAGCCCTGTGGCTTCATCCGATCATCTCCAGACTTAAAACAAAGAAACATAGTTGTCAGTTTTAGTTGTTGCAGAAAATGTAAGTGATTGGCAGGAATAGCAAGGCGAACTTCATTATATTTAACTGATGCAGTTCTTTCATATTATTGTTTGTAATTATTAATTACAATATGCTACAAATTTCTGATGGAAGACAATTTTGATAATTGATAAAGTTCACATTAAAACTTAATGATTTGCTCAACCTGGAGAGGCAGTAAATTTTGTTTTCTCCTTCTCACAGATTATTATGGTTTCATTTGAACTTTATGCTAATGAAATTTATTCGAAATTAGAGTTTAATTTCTATTGTTTCGTTAAGTTAATACAACATAAGTAACTTATTTCGTGCCTCTACGTTCGTTTCAGTTAATTCCAGACAAATCTGATTCTTTCAGCACTTGTAGTTTGATAGACATGTATAATGATATAATAAATTATATTCAGAAATTTTATCTAATTAAAATGTGATTTGTTTTTTTTAGAGAACAGAAGCGAAGGTTTGAATGCGCTTTCGAAGACATCGGCAAACACTGTGGAAAGGCAGCTTCAGAATTTATGAGAGAACTTACAGCACCACTGACCAAATTTTTGAACAAGAACTGCGATAATGTTCAAATTGTAAACATAGATATGTTACGAAGTATGTCTCTTGGTCTGTACTAAAGAAAAACATTATGTTTAAGCTAAATAAATGTGTAAACTTGATTTGAAAATAAATGATCGCAAAACGCTAATTCTTGTTTTGTCTTTAATTAATAAATGCTTATTTCCTATTGCATAATTATTCTAAAATATTTTTCATAATAATTAAGGTTTATAAAATCAAATCCAAAATAAAAAAATCATAAAAACGCAGAACCATAAAAACAAAAAAAAAACTTTTTTTTTGAATAAAAATCCGAAGGCTTTCAGATTTTTTATTACACCCAAAAGGGCATTTTTAACATTTTGTGTGTTATCTTTGTTTATTAAATATTGTGTTTTTCACACACAAAATTCAATTCAACAGCAATATTACAAAATATTTTAAAAACAGCGCATGTTCAGAATTTCCATTAGATAGTCTCGCAGGCTGAAAATAAAAATGTTTTTTCTATACAGTGTTGCCATAGCTCTCTTTGAAATCGCTGAGTTTGTTAAAAAGAAATTCGTTAAAACTTTACAAAATGTAAACTAGATATTAAAACGAATGCGAAACTCCAAATTCGGGCTTCCAGGCGCCTATGCCTATTACGTTACTCAAAATTTGATGGCTCTAAGTACCGTCGTTTTTCCACAAAGCAAGAAAAATGCATACATTCATTCACATTCTCCTTTTCTTAATTTCTTGTAAAGTAATACATTTTAAAATAATTCTAAGCTAACGCTCCTTTGAGCAAAAAAGTTGTTGAATGCAAATTTAATTTAAAGCAGTTAACAGTTTTAAAAGTCTGATAAATTAAAACGTTAAAATAGCATTATAGGATTCAGAAGGAAAGTAAACCCAAATTCGTTAGAGTTTACAAAGTTATCAAATGGTATCTGTCTAAGGAGATAAGACTATCTACAACTCTCTATCTATCTATCAAACTACCAATATTCAACGATTTTTTATCCGTCGGCAGCTAATGCTCGAAGTCTTCAAGGCTGTTTGATGGATTTCAGTATTGCATTCTTATAACCATACAAATAATCGAATGCTAACTGCTCCTAATTTCAAAAAGCAAGACATTATTAAATACATGTGATATATTTTAGTGTATCCAGAAGATGTTAAAACGTAATTCAGTCTGCTGGATGTCTGGGTTGGTGGTAAGGAAAATGTCCCACATTTGTGAGAATATAGGAAACTTCAGCATTTTTCTCAAAAATCTATGAGAGTAAAAATTCTACATATTTGAATAAATTAATATTTACCATACTTTAGTATTTTAGGTAAAAACGGGCAGTTTATGGTGTGCAGATAATACAAAAAAAAAAGTACCTCAGTAGTCTAATAGAAGAGTATAGGAAACGATAATCTGTGATAAGGAAAGTGCATTTCGCCTATTGATCCCACAATCTCAATTTCATTGTTCGTATAATTGTTATATTATCTGTATTCGATTTTCTATTATTTTATCAGAAGGAATGTGAAATTTTGAAGGGCGTGCAAAATTAGATATTAAACTGGAAAGGCTTGAATACGTTCGTGCTGTAATAATTTTTGTTGCTTATCTTTATGAAAGATATTAAAGCTTGATTATTTTTAAGAATTATAGAAATTGCATTAAATTATGTAAGGGATATCATGAATCAAATTTCACTTCTTCAGTGCACGTTACGTTATAAATTCTTCTATCATTCTGGTTCAGAAAAGTAAAACATATGTGGTGAAACATCTCATTGCAATCGCCTTTGAAAAGGATTGATTTCACTTCCAATTAAATAAACAATAATATTGAACATCATTGATTCTTATGATCTCCAGACTGACTAATTAAAATTTAATTTATCTTACTTTGAATTTAGGTAATTAATTAACTTTTATTTCCTCTTTCAAAATAATGAAAGAAAAATTTTCGTTAAAATTGCTTAACTCAAGCTTCAAATTAGGCAGATATTGGAGCTCGATGGAACTGAGATACCAGATGAAATTAATAAAACATGAAAAACTAAAAGTCTAGACTTATTAAAATAATTTTGAATAAATCCAGATTTCACCTTACAAGATATTTCTTCCGCCTTATTAGCATGCCTTCGTGGTGTAATGGTCAGCACACTCGGCGTGTATTCGAGAATTCCGAGGTTCGAGTCCCGGCGAGGGCAATGGTCATTTTCCATCACCCCTGCTTCGAAATAACCTAGTGTCTCTATAACCTTAATTTACATAGCAGAAACGAGAGCCAATTTCCCTCAGAAAGTTCTCCAACTTTTCCCTTGGACAGATAGACCTTTTATACCTTATTATTAGTAATTAATTAAGCTAACAAAGGAACATTTACATATAACTGTAAATCGGAAAGAGGATTACATTACTTGGGATGAAAAAAAATGGGAGTTTCAGGTAAGTAATCGATTCATTACATCGAAGCACTAGGTGCAATCGACTGGAGAATAACTTTAAAGGAACATATGTTTCTTGCCGTTAAACTGTTTTTCTATCATTTCTGGTCCCATTTGATTAATACAGTTTATTGCGATATAAAACTCTAGACCACCAATAATAGGTTTTAAAAATAGGTTTTAAACAGGTTTTAAAAACTCAGCATAATTTTCAAATAAACCCATTAATTTTTACCGGTTGAAATTCTCTTGTTTTCCTATTCAGAGTTCAATATTCGCTGTATTACAAACACTTTGTTTTTAATTAAAATCAAATGAAAAAATTATGCGAACTTAATTATGTAAAAAAATTAATAATATTTTTATCACCAGCCGTGACTGTAGATTGAAACTAAAACAATTTGTTTCAAACTACCTCCATGCCTGGGCTCAGATGAATTTTATTACGCGACAGTCAATGTTTCACTTAGCTGCAACTTAAGGTTATTAAATGAGGAGAAAGGAAACCTATATTGCTGAGAATTATCCACTAGACACCCCTTTGTTTTTGCTATCCCAACTAGCAGCTCGGTTATCTTCCTGCAATCATCACAAGGAAGGATCTCCTAATCCGAAGTTATATTTGTCATAAGAATTTTTTTCTCTCAGCTTGGCTACATTTCTAAGCACACCTTATTTTTTCTGCTACTAAATAATGGTGACTCATTTTCCGTTTCCTTATTTATCTCTGACGCTTTTTTCTTACCACACTTGTGTTGGTATCTTTGGTATAGCTTTTGAATTTTATTTTCTGTCACTTTTGGAAATCTAGGAAGAATACAGGATAGGCTTCGAGGACCACAGTTTGAGATAAGCTGATGTAAAGGATGTAAAAATGCAGCTGTTTTAACCAATATGTTTTCTAAAAAGCTTTTAACCAATAGTGAGGTTCAAATGTAATTCCAATAGGAGGAATTTCAGATTTCCTAGGGAATTCTTTTCTGATATTGATTTAATCATCTTTTGACGAATAACTAAAATACTTTTTGATATCATCCTGCTCACACTTCGCTCTCCAGTACTTCTTGGATCAGTCATTGTTCATTATCTTTCAAGATACTATTTCCATTGCAACAGCAGCCGGTAATTGGTTTTCATGTGTTTAAACACTAATCCGTAATTAGTGAAATAAAATTTAAGCATTTTCTAGATAAGCTATAATCTTACAGAACGCATCTTTCATTTCAATGAATAAGCGTATCAAAATAAATTAGAAATTCATCAGATTTTGGAGATACTGTGCTAAGATTATCTTTCACTTACTATGTAAAACATACTTACATAAGTTTCTTTTCCTAACAGTTTAAATTAAAAATACATTTGAATAATATAAATAATCAAGTACACTTCTGATTAAAATTTTGAAACTTATGTTCGATCAAACGATTAAGCAGTTGTTTAAGTCAAACACGTATCTATTTATACTGAAATGTGAAATAAAGAAATGAATTCGAAATAAACTCATTATTTGAAATTTTGGAATCTCTTAAAGTAGTTCTTTAAATAGATTGTTCATTCAAAGCATTTTCATGGATTATTTTTTTTCCATACTTTGTATTGAACAGACAAAATATATGAAGCTTACTCATTTATGGCTAATAACTTCACTTAATTCGTGAAACCGTTTAAACCCTTACAGTTTAATTTCCTTAACTATGATTAAATGATTTCTCCTAACGACAAAATCATAACATGCACATTCAAAATCTGATAAGATAAAGTGTGGTGTAAATCGCGTTTATTGACACAACTCGGGGAAAATCCACCACCTGCAATCTTACATGTATTCAGTAGTTACGTATTATTCTATCTTTCAAAGCTTAATAAGTACTACAATTGATAATATATTTTTCGCACTCCTACATAATTTCCATTTCTACGTTTCTTACACGATTGCGTATTTTAAATCAATATCAGGATAAAGCGTGCTTTTCTTCAGCTAATTAATTCATTTTGCATTTGATAGTGATAGCTGCAGATTTATTCCAATACTCACTCGTCATTTCTATAACTATTATGTGTTTACAACTCAGAACTGCATATTTATTTACGTTAATAATTCTATTTTTATGTGCAATACATAAAAGCAAATCTTCAGAGAAGACATATATTTTGTCTTTATACCGTTATGAACCTTGCCAGTCAATAAGTTCTTCGTTTTCGAAAGAGTTTAGCTTTTCTAAATACTTTATAATGAATTAACAAAATGTCAGATATATTATTTATTATTTTTCGAAGTCTTTCGTTTTCTTAAGTTTTCGTTCGCTAAATTAATTTTTAGCCCAAAGGGCATTAGACCAGAAGGGCTATTAATTTCGTATTTGGCATTTTGTGTTGGTTCACTATAAACAGCATTTCTTTTTTTATATTGCTGCCATCAAATATTAGAACCCTTCGTTATATTTAAAGAAATTACATAATGAAGAATATGCATGAATGTACGTATGCTTCTCGCATTGTTTAAAACACGATGGCACCTAGAGACATCACATTTTGAATAACATAGTCCTCCTCGAATATGGGAACCTAGAAGCCCAAATTTGCAATTTGTTTATGACCTATTTCATATTTTGTAAACCGTTAACGAATTTTTTATTAAAAACCTCAAGGATTTCAAAGGGCGCAATGGCAACACTGTACGAAAATGCAATGGCAAAACTGTACAATGAACGAAAGAAAATATTTTTATCTCCAGCTCGCGAGACTGTGTAGCGGAAATTCTAATGATATGCTCTTATTAAATTATTTTGTGATATTGCTGTTAAATCGAATTTTATGGTTTAAATGCGAAGAACATGATAGTTAATAAATAAATGTAACACACAAAACGTTAAAAAAAGTCTTTTGGACGTAATGTAAAATCTGAAAACTTTCAGATTTTTTTTAAATACGTTTTAATTTTCTAAATTAATTTCCTAAGATATTACTTTTATATGTATTATTTACCTTTGATTTTCTATGGATATGAATGTTAACCGTTTTTTAAAAAATATTTCTTTTACAATTACTTAAATAAAAAATTTCCTAGTTTAAATTACTTCGTCTGCTGCTAAAAAATTCGTTGTTTCTTTGTGAGAGCTTTAAGTATCATATTTTGTCCCTTGAGAAAAATAAAATATTCTAACCAAATTCTGTAAAATACGTCGGTCAAAGTAAGAGAACAATAGAATTTTGCACTGAAGAAAAGTGATCTTAATTATAACAAGTGAAGAAATTAATGAATCTTCCACTATTTAACATTTTTAATTTCTTAATCAACAAACATTACTTCTGTTATTAGTTATGCATTAGATTACATTGAAGTGTTCCTAATTCTTGAACCTTATTACCTTTCATTAATGATTTTATTTTTATTCGAATTCTTTTTAACAATTTAATCCTATTGTCTGTTGTATTTTTCCCCTTCATTTATGTTGTATTCAATAAATGGCGCTCACATCATTACTTTCTCCACTTTCATATATTTGTTTTTATTTCGATTGCCTTAAGTGATGTTTTTATTTTTGATTATCCATTGGCTTATTTAAATGACAAGTACGAATAAGTTCATTTCTCATTGGGAACCGGTTTTACTGGTTAGCTCTTCATTAAAATGCTTCAATAAATCATCTTTGAATTCCCTTCGATCCGTTTCATAGCTCAGGATTACATCGATCTGGTAGTCTGCCTTTTTCTTTGAAGATGCTGTATCTTATTATTTTCATTGCTACGGAAGGGGGTGAGTAAACTTCAAACAATTAATCAATGCAAGAAATATATGCATTATATAGCCGCTGTAAATGATAATTATATTAGGCACTTGATCCTGCACAAATTTTATTAACTATTTTAGGCACTAACTATAATGCAAGGTTTATTTCGAAAGGACAATAAATCAATGTATAATCGACTAGAATGTATATATCGGGATTCTTTTACTGTATTTGTCGTAGATAATGACACAGTTTTTAAATTTCATTTGGCTTTTCTACATCAGTTACAGGTCTTAGAAACCATACTTTATAAGTTAGTTAATCTATCGCTATTTATATTAAATTAGTATACGTGCATGAGAAACAAAATTTTATCTTATTGAAGAGAGTTTACTAAAATTTAGAATTAGGCTAAAAATTGCCAATTGATTCCAGAACTGAAATTTAGAATAAGGCATAATAATAAAGAATAATAAAATTTAGAATAAATCATGTCTTCTTTCTTTCTTCTGTTATATTTTTCCTATAGCTTGTTGTCTTCTTTTGTATAATTTTAAACCAGCTGAGTTGTCTTCAGAGAAGCAAAACATTTCTTTTAATAGACGAAAGTTGTACAAAGCTAGCTTGCAAAATAATGGATAAAGTTTTTTTTTTTTTTCCACAAGCAGTTTAACTGTTCTAACTGCATTATTTCCATCATCGAAAAGAGCTCAAAGTCTTTGGCTTTCAACCATTACTCTTAGTTATAGATTACTAAAAAATAAATATAAGTTTGTATTTATAACTCTTTTAAACTTCTGTGAATTAAGTTTTTTTAATTAAACGAAAAAACATTTATATTATATTTTGAACTTTGTTTTGATACCTTTTTATGCAGTTTTGCGTCATTGATGAAAAGCGTTTCATATATTCATATTATGGCATTTTTAATTAGGAAGATTATTAAATATTAATCATATTTGAAAACCTACATGAGTCGCTGGTTAATCTCTCGAATGAAGATGAAGTACGTAAGGTTAACTTTTCAGCACTTGGTAATGCTTCCGCATTTTGCATTTTAATGTTTTACGAAAAATTAAATAATGACCAATGAAATCTGGCCAGATGACTAAGAAATTAAGCGGACTGTATATGAGTCCGTTATATTTTTCAACCAGTTATGTACATTTATATTATAATTGGAGCAATAATTTTAATTATTAGTGATCCTTTTCATTATTAATGATCATTAGAATTATGTTTCGATAGAACATTATTAACAGAAATGCTACAGATTGAAAATCATGGTTCAATTAACAGTTATGTATAAATACATACTTTTGTACATTATGCAAAAAAAAGGGGGGATAGCTCTATACCTCCCGTTCTACTGGGCCGATTGACGAAATTAAAATTGCATTTCTCATGTCTCGAAACGCGACTTAGGATATATAACAGATTTATATATAGCAATGTTCCAACGTAGGTATTTTAACACAAAATATATCCTAAGTCGGGCTTACGAGACATGAAAAACGCAAATTCAGTTTCATTAATCCGACCAGTAGAACGGGAAATATACAACTGCCCCCCTCTTTTTTTCTGCAGTGCATATATTACATCTAAAAAACCTTAAAAATCGATTGAAATTCTCAAATGTAGCAGTGCGCAAGTAAAATTCAACTACATCAGTCGCATTTTGCAAGAAGACTACTGAAATATTTGTGAAAAAATAAAAATAAAATAAAAATACAATCAAATTTTACATTACGCCCAAAGGGTCGTTTTTTCATTTTGTGTGTTATCTTTATTTATTAAAATTCATGTTCTTCACACTTAACCATAAAACTTAATTCAACAGCAATATCTCAAAATAATTTTAAAATGAGCATATCTTTAGAATTTAAGATACACATTCTCGTGTAAAAATGTTTTTTACTTCCTTGTGTACGAAGTAAAAAGGAAGTATTGTAATCGCGAAAAATTTCAGGCAGCATATTTCAACGAAAATACCCATTTTGACCGCTATCGAATGCAATTAATGATGTTTTCGCGTGATATCTGTACGTAAGGACAGAATAAAAGACTCGTTTCCTCCAAAAAAATTATAAAATACCTTATAAAGTAATTAAGAAATTTTCTCATCAGTTATAAAATTAATTGAAAGAAATAAAAAGAATAAATGAACAGTGTACTTATAAGGGGAACTTTTCTTTAGTCAAGGCTTAGTAATGTAGTTTTCCATAGATACATAAATCAGTAATGAAGTATCTTTATCAAAAAATGAGTTTCAAACTCCATTGTCTTTGTTGATTTAAAGATTTATCAGCGCACATTGGTTTCCCTTATTAATAAACATTTATATGGAATGTGACGATAGCTTTCATTTTTGAATGCCTATTTACGAATTCCGTTTACTCACGGCACATATTCCTTACCAGAACTAATTCCACAACCTCCTCCATCGTTTCTTCAGTATGACTAATTTCGGGCATATATTTGATTCCTTTGGTTCTGAGGTTTCGAGTTTAGGTGAACGGGTTGGCTGCATGTCTATTGATGCATGTTGAATGTCTGTTTACGAATTCTCTTTAGGCACGATAAATATTTTCCCACTAGAATTAATTCCGAAACCTCCTCCTTCAGTGCTACTAATTACACAAATAATTCTCTCTTTTAATGCATCGTAGTGCAGCGACGTATATTTGGTTCTTTTAATTCTGGGAGTTCGAATCCTGGCGAACGGGCTGGCTGCATGGGCATTTTCGTGGTTTTTCGTATACATAAGACCAGAAAAAAAAGTCCCTTAGAAATTCCTTCGGCAGACAACCTTTACCATGATTAAAGAAACCAAACCAATCCTTTGGTCTTCAATGAGGAAAAATGTACAATTCAAGTATATTTTTTCCAATAGCGGGCATTAACCATTATAGGTGTTGGTCACTACAAGACTGGAGGTGGTGGTCCCTGTATTATGCAGGCACCTAACAAGTGTACTATCATTGCTTCCTATGAGAGTACAGACAATTTACATTTATGCCTTCTCCGGGATTCCAACTCGATCCCTTCTCAGTCAGAGTCACTAACCACATTCCATGTATATCAAAATAACTATTTTATGAATGTCATTTTTGAAGAAGAGTGAGCGAATTTCATGTTAGTATGCTAAGAACTCCTAGTTGTACATGATTTCCAGTGTGGATACAAATATTTCTACTCAGCGCTGTTCCTCTGCATAGGTCCGTGGAATATTTGATTCGTCGATGAAATAATATGATAATTTTTAACGCATATTTCAGTTAAGATACTTTAACTATTATTCGAGAAATAATCTATTCACGCCGTCATACTACAGGTAGAAGTTAGGTTACCTCTTCACTATTACCACAGGTAACTGAACCTAGACAAATGTTCAGCTTTCGCCCCGGATGGAATTCGGAAGAAAAATGACCGGAGAACAAATTGAAGACGCCACGTCCCTCTTCCCTTACCATCAACCTCTCGTGAATATTTTGTCTCACCATGTATTTTGAGTGCTTTCTTGCTGCACAAACACTATTGGAAATCGAGCCTTTAGTAGGCAGTCAAGGACACTAACCACTATCCCATCTGAGCAAAGAAGACGAAAAAAGGGGCGTTTGTAAAGGGTCTAGTTTATTTACATCAGTATTGCATTTTAGCCCTTTTAATGTGACCATTTCAATCCTAATATTTTTAAGCAGGTAACAAGAATTTTTTGTTATATATAAAAAATATTTAAGAATATGATACTTTCCAGTGCTGTCGGCTGAAGGTGAGTCTAATGACGATCTCTGTCCTGCTTGGGGTTCTATGGCCTGTGCTAATGATCTCAAAGGGGATCTACTTTATCTTGATGACAATACACCACTAGAAGAAAATAAAGAAATCTTCGAAAGAAAATGCGAGTGAGTTTTTCTTAATTTTCTTTTCAAATTTATACATTTGTGGCTAAGAATTAATAAGAAAATTAAATGCTTTCTAATGTGAAAGAAAGAAACTTTAGAAAATGAATATTTTTAATCAACTCAAATTACCGCTATACAAATATGAATTATGCTTGAATTTCATATCTCTTCTGCACGCCTTGTCTTGTTTTGCGCAGAAAATGTAACACAAAATATAAAACAGAAATATTTCCACAGACATTTTCTCTTTTACCTCATTGACTTTTATTAATTTTTTAACAAGAGTGTGAACACTATATCACACAAAACCTATATATCTCATAATTATCTGAAAATGCCACATTGTTCATTTGGAAGACTCCGGAGCTGATTTTTTAATATCTGTGAAAAACTAAGATAATTTTAAATTTAAATGACCATTCTCGAAGAATGGAAAATAAGACGTTAATTAGTAATCAAATTATAAAAGACGATAAATTTCAAAATCTCTTTTATTAGACACGGCAAAAGAAGAAACCATACTCAATTTTTAGGTAAATCAAACTCCTTGATCCTTAAATTTTTATTTTTTTGCAACAAATTAAAAACTCTTATGTGCTAAGCAGTAATAATTACAGAAAATTTTGTTTAGAATTATCTTTTATTCTAATTCTTCAAAATTTAAATCATTGTTTATCCATTCTCCGTGTTCACAACGAAATTTATTAGCATTATTCAGACGTAATGAAGTGGAATGTCAGTTGTTGGAGATTGTCGATATTACATTAATTCGAATTGCAAAATTGAGTTAATTATAAAGATGGATGAGTTAATTCAGAATGAGTTAATTTTTTATTCTCAATACATTTGATTGGATAATTAATACCACTGTAAAATTAGTACTAGCTGTTTGAGCTTTAGTTTCATTTACATCACCAATGTTATATAAGAGTCATATGACACTGATTAGTCTCGAAAAGATGCACTGCAGAAATTTTTTTTTTTTATTTTTAGAATAGAGAAGGGAAATACAAAATTAAAACTAAGCATTAAGGTACTATTGCTAATTTAAATTATAATTTATATTTACATATTTTTTTATCTTACACACACACACGCACATATATATATATATATATGTAAGATAAAAAATATATGAATTAAAATTATAATTTAAACTAACGGTGAAACATTAATTCTCCCTCTCTATTCTAAAAACCGCAATAACTTCTCTGGATTGCGTCATTTCTGCAGCTGTGATGACGTAATAATTAGAAACTGAAACTACCATTGTAAATCAAAACTTTTCTCTTCGCGTGCTTCCATCTAATAACTACGCACTTCAGTTCTTGTGTGTGCTGTGCTTGTACGCGAATTCACTATGCTGCTTTCTATTGTAAAAATATCAATAATGTAAACGTTCTTGAACAGGCACGATTAGCGTGCCAAGTGATCTTTGGCCACATAATGTCAACTGGAAATAAAAATGGAATTAAAATCGCCTCATCTGCCAAGTTTTATTTACGAAGTCAGTACCTTAGCTTACGCAATAAGAATACTTCCTGTTCAATATAGGATAACTACGCATCAACAGTGCTCCTTTCCTTGCTTTTATTATGCCATACATATAAAATTTGTTAACATATTAAAAAGGTTATAAATTTTAATAACATCAATGTATTATTAAAATATCATATAAATCATAAAAATCATTCTGTCTTTTTTCTTTGTGTTTGATGCACATTGAATGATGTGAAATAAATGTAAATGAAATTTATTTTGATTATAACTAGAATTATTCCTAAAATATACTTAATTATGTTTTCTTTGGTTAATATGTAACTTTTCTTTTCCCAAATATAGGAATACTATGCCATATATAAAATGTGTGCTCGACTTCGGAGCCAGCCATTGCCCGAACATTTCAGAAAACATACATTATGAAGGTTTCAAATATGAGTACGCCACCTATTCTAGAATTTGTGACAAGAATGATGAAATTAATAAGTGTAAGTTTTCATTATGGTAAAAATTATTTTCTGCTGTAAAATAATTTGTATACATCTAATCAGAAAATGTCCACAGTTTGTTAAAAGTGTGTGTGTGTGTGATTATGGCAAAGCCTCGAGGGCTATCTGCCTAAGAGGAGGGATGCCTTCGTGGAGGACTTTCTAAGGGAAACTGGCTCGTATACACGTTACACATGGGGAAAACCACGAAAACGCCCATGCAGCCAGCCCGTTCGCGGGATTCGAACCTCGGACCGAACTACCAGTGTTCAGCGACTTTACCGCTCGGCCGCTGGTGGGCCAGTTTGTTAAAAGAAGAGCATTCTTAAGAAATCGTACATTAATCGAAATGGTGTAAAATGAAAAGGGCGGAAATGTTTTCAAGTCCTCTATGGAACATGTGAATTACTAAAATTACCTGTGAAAGAAAAATAAATAATTATATAAAATCTGAGGCTGACTAAAAAAATTACCTAAATTATATCTGGTCTTCATCTCCGTCAACGTAATTATTCTATATAATACATATAACGGGTGGCCGTAATTAAACTGACAGTGCTCACAGTGTTCTGTAGCGCGATCTATTTGCGAGAATGACGCCACATTTTGTAGGAAGATTAAACAAGACGAGGGAGAAAGAATTCCGCGAAAAAAATAGTTCCAAAAGTCACCGCTAGGGGAATATTTGACGCTGTGTAATAAAAAATAGAGTGTTAACAAATGCAAATCAATACGGAAATTACCTTTTATTTTGCATTCAAATGAGGTTCAATGTGGCTGCCGTTGTTGTGGACCACATATTGCATTCTGTGTATGCACAACAGCAGAAAGTAACATGTCTGCAGGAATCTCCCGTACAGTCCGTGAGATGTTATCCTTCAACGTAGCCAGGTCCTGGACCACTCCTTGATAGACCTTAGACTTAAGGTAACCCCATAGCCAGAAGTCGCATGGGGTAAGATCAGGCGACCGCATGGGGTAAGATCAGGTGGCCATGCAGTTGGAAAGTAGCGGTTAATGGCTCTTTCTGTTGTGAATTTCTGTCGTAGCATCTGTTGCACCCGTACAGCAACGTGTGCAGGGGCTCCATCTTGCATGTAAATTATTTCCCCCAGGCATTGTCTTTGCTGAAGTGACAAAGCTGTTCAACATGTGGCGATATTTCTCTGCGGTAACAGAACAGGTTTTCGGTCCTGTCGGGGTAATGTTCTCATAGAAGAATGGACCTACGATAAATTCCGCTGTGAACTCACACTAAACAGTTACCTTTGGTGAATGTAAGGGAATTGCTGTGACTGCATGTGGTGATTTGTCATCCCAAATTCGGCAGTTCTGGGTACTCACAGTTCCATTCAGGTAAAAGTGGGCCTCGTCTCCCCATAAGATTTTCCACATCATCCACCTCCATTCTGGCCAAGCATCATCCACCTCCATTCTGGCAAGAAATATGAGAGCAAAAGTCAATCGCTTATCATGGTCGGGGTACAGTAACTCCTGTACACGGCTGATCTTGTACGGATAGAAGTTGATAATCTTTCGTAAGATTTTCCATACCGTACTGTAAGGCATATCCATAATAAAAGGTAATTTTATTCCGTATTAATTTGCATTTGTTAACACTCTATTTTCTATTACACAGCGCCAAATATTCCCCTAGCGGTGACTTTTGGAACTTTTTTTTTTTTCGCGGAATCCTTCGTCCCCCGTCTTGTATAATCTTCCTACAAAATGTGGCGTCATTCTCACAAATAGATCGCGCTGCAGAATCCTGTGAGCACTGTCAGTTTAATTATAACCACCCAGTATATGCCATTGCAAAATATAAAACTAAGCTAAAATATTAATAAATAAATAAATACAATTAGAAGTGTTTTTACTGTTAGTGTAATGTTACTTTTACGCTGTGAAGCATTTTGAATGTTTGATGAAAAAACATTTCATGCTGTTATTGCTATTCTAATATAACAACAACAACAATAAAAAGGAAGAATCTGAAAGCTTATTTGTGCTACCGATCCTTTGGGCAAAAAATATTAAAAAATACAGGACTCCAAATATCCGAATCAATTGGGACCGGAACCTAATCGGATAATTGGATTTTCCCAGAAGAAAAGATCTACGTATTCTTTAATTAATCACTGTATGTTGAAAATGAGGGGGAACTACTTTTAAAGAAAAAGTGGTTTTAATTAATTAAAATGAAAAGATAACACTTCTACGTACATATTATACAGCATACTGTAGAGTACTTAGAAGTACTGAAATGTATTGCTTGCTAAACATCTCGGTCAAAATAAGCTGCTTGACTGTCTTCATCCGTTTTCGGGCAAGTCGCGCATTCGTTTGACAATGAGAAGTTGCATGTGGCCGCACACTTAATTTTTTTTCTTAAATTCTGAACGTGATTCGGATAGTCGGAGTTCGGATAATTGGAGTTGTACTGTAGCATATCCTTAGCATTTCCGACAGATAGTCTCGCATGCTGGGTATAAAAATGTTTTATTCCCTACAGTGTTGCCACTACTCGCTCTGATATCGTTGAGTTTTTTTAGCCAAAATTTCGTGAAAGTTTTACAAAGTAAGAAATATATAATAAAACAAACTCGAAATTTAAATTCGGGCTTGCAATTTTCTATATTCGGATGGAGGACTACGTTATTCAAAATATAATGGCTGTAGGTACCGTTGTGTTTTCACAATGCGAGAAACATACGTACATTCACGCAGATTCGTCATTATTCTATTTCTTTAAATATTACGCAGGGTGATAAGATTTGGTAGCAACTATTTGAAAAGCTATTCAACGCAAAATGCCCTTTTGAGACTAATATTCTGTGTGGGCAAACGCCCCATTGTGCTAATAAAATAAAATCTTTAGACTGGCGAAGATTTTAAAATCTTTTTACGTATTTCTGTGCCACATTAGTAATTCTTAAATTATTTCAAATTTTTCATTATTACGACGCTAAAATTAGACAAAATACTAATCACATGATGGCTTGTGAAGGTTTACATTATGAGTTATTAATTATTTAAGAAACACCAAAAATTATCTTAAAATTTGTTTGATATTAAAGCTGCCCATTTTATGCAGCAGTTCTTTTCCGGAATGTGTTTGTATTTTCAGAAATTCTGAAAATTGGTCTTTCAATCCTGTTATTATTTCAATATTACTTTAATCCAGGTATTGTAACGTCTCAACACTCGGGTTGGATGAAAAGAAATGAGCAGTTGTCTTTTAAATATTTATTTAAAAAAACTTAATAAGAATTTCTTGAATACTAATAAGTAAAATAATCAAAACATTACAGCCATAATACAAAGAATGGCCGCTGAATGCGGCAACGACGCGGGTTGCGACTTCTTTCGAGCAAATTGTCTTGCTAACGCCCAAGTACTTACGTTGTGGCTTTTTGCCAAGCGGGAGAAAGAGAAGGAGTTTTAGGAAGCAAGCCGCTTGCCACTGTAGTTTTACGAGTTTTCACTCGGTTGCTGGTTGCCTTTAAGGCCAGAGGTTTAGCCCTCTTGATAATGGCAAACGCATTGTAGTTTAAGCAGCTCGGCGTACTACATACGTACCTTTTTTAAATAAAGGCCAGTCTTAGTGCTAGGCATTTGTATACTAATTCAAAGTTAGCTTTTAGTTAGAGTTTTAGTGTTTTAGTTAGTAGTTTTTATATTCTTACGTTCAGACCACAAGTGGTTGGTCTCTGTATTCCGAAGTTCGGAAATATTTGTAAAGTATTGAAAATAAAGGGTTTCGTATACCCTTCCTGCTTGTGTTTTGTACTTCACACCTTCTTGAACATAGCTTGAGTAAGCTCCCTGTTCCTATTCAGGATCATTCATGTTTCCAACGCAAATCAAGAGAAACACAAGTCCTGACATAGTGAATTAAAATTTTCTGCATCTTCAAGTGTCTTTTTGCAGCGTGGGACCAACTTTTAGTTTTTTGCACCGAAAAACCTGCCGTCTTGCCTACTGGCCGAACCGCTTATTTCTGCGTAGAAACTGTAATTTAAATTTTAAGCATTTCTTTTTTAATCGTTTTAATTGTATTTGGTGTTTTATGTTTTTCTATATCTTTCAATTTTATTGAAAATATTTTGAGTTTTTATATATTTTTGCCTTGCCGTGGAGTGAGAACTAAATTAATTGAATGAGAAATCTATTTCTAATGAAATTCGAGGAAATAAATTTAAATGAAATGCTGAAAAAGATGCGTTTAGTTTAATATTCCGTACAATAAAGTCACATCAAATTTTTATTACTTGTTGCAGTGAAAATGAATGATATCTAGTGGTTTAGGGTAAAACAAAGGTAAAATTATTTAACCAATCAAAACATAAAATTCAGTCTTTATCTGAACTGCAGTTAACTTGAAGAGAAAGTTTGAGAAAAATTAAACTTGAGAAACTTGAGAAGAGAACGTGAGAAAAATTAAAAATAGATAAAATAAAAAAGAAGATAATAAATAGATATCTCGTTATTGCACTCTTTTGCTTTTCAAGAAAATACCAGAATATGTTCATATAATGAAAACACCTCATTCAGTTGTTTTTTTATTCAGTTATTTAGAAAACTGCTGTTTACTGTAGCGAATTTGCGGTGACATCGGATTCGCTTTCTATGCTTTGAATTCAGTTCTGTTGAACGTTTGAGTAGTTTAAAAGATAACTACCGTGAGATATTGCAATATTGTGCGCATATCTGTGGAAATTTAAGCATTTTTGTTTTATTTGTTGTGATAATAATAAATTTTATTCACACTGATCGGACTTGTGCATTCGATTTATTACAAACCCGTGCGCACGCAACAATATCTGAACTATATATGTTTGATTCATTATTAATCCGTATGGTTTAATCTGTAACTTTATTTAATCTTTAACTAGCAGCATGTATTCCAAATAATTTGATTATCCTTCTATTATCTCCATCTCGTTTTTTAATATAAGTGTATACACATATGGCATTTTATATGCGTGTATACGTATATAGTTTGGCATTTTATATACATGTATACGTATATAAAATGCCAAACTCAAAAATGTAATAATACTGATATTTAAAAGCAATAATTTAAAATGAATTTGCCGATATTTAAAAGCACATATACAATTCATATTTTTTATTTATGTTTCAGGGTATGTAGAAAATGCCAAGTGTCTAAATACACAAATGGTAGAAATCTATAAAAAATGTGAAAAAACGCCAAAAATTCGTGGCCTGAGAGAGTTAACAAAGGAGATTTGTCAGTACGTATGGCTCATTTATTTCATAATTAGTTATCAATATCATTACGTTAATAAATTTAATTCAATATATACGTTATCATTAAAGTTTATAGCTCAGTTATTTTATAGAATGTTTAGTTATTTCATGAAACATCTGATCAAATCAGTTAAAATTTGTTACAAATTAATAATTCCACTCTTTCACTAGTTATTTTATGGAATAAATAATTTCAGGAACACTTGCCATTAATATCCAAATCCTGGTGTTTAATGAGCATATTATTTAAAGTTTTGTTATATTGAAAACAGAGCGCTGTTTTGTAACTGAAGACTGAGAAAAGATGTTGTTAATTTTAACTCTAGCGTAAAAATTGAATGACGAAAGTTTTTTTACCCGTTCAGTTCGAAATTACTTTTTTTCCGCTGCCTTTTGCAATATTGATTGCTGAATGTTTTTATTGTATGTAAACTTAATTTAAATCATAACCTATGTAAAATATTTTGCTTGTAATACAATATAAATCATTACGGATAACTTTCGAAAGCTTAGTTCTGACTTATTCTGTGAAAGTTTTTGGTAGTTTCGAACTTTGTCAATAATAACTAATCGCAGGTCATTTTGAGCCATTAATTTAGTTTGAATTTTCATGACTAATTATTAACATAAGCAACTATTACAAAGGGTATATGATAAATTATACTTAAGTAACTTGCAATATATCACTTTATGAAAATAGGGAGACAATGATTAAAGCAGAAAGATATTGAGTAAAATATTTGATTGAAATTTTGGTGTGCAATGGAAAATGTTAGTCTAAACAACAGTATTTTAATTGCTTGGAAACAATCATATGAAATTAAGTTTACAGTATTCGAAATTTGACTAATTTGCAAAATTGTAAATAGTTTTCCAGCGCATGTCCGAATTGTGAGCCATTTATTCTATGAGCTCTAAATTGTATCTAAATGTTGCTTCACTAAATTCTAATAAATTTATTTAAATGGCAATTATGGTAGTTTGGGCTATTTTATTTTCCTTAATAATGTAATTAAAATATTGCAAGTGTTTCTTCTTTGTTGCAAATTCTGGAAGTAAAAATATTGTAAATCGTAAATCTCCAGATAAACTGGCACATTGTTTAAAAATCTGAAGTTCAAAAATTTCTTATTAATAATATCAGAAATTTTAATTTAGATCGCTGTTCTTACCAACTGTCAAATTCAAAACGAACTTCAGCATAACTATAAAAGATGCTTCAAAATATTAATAAACATTATGTTATAATAGTCTCATGAGTAATAAAATAGAAAACATAGAACATAGAAGCATGCTGTTTGTAATAAACTGAATTTGTAAAAACGAATATTTTTCATTTAAATTTTGTATTTTATGTAGTAATTTTATTATTATTATTTTTGTTATTGTATATGAAAGGAAAAACGACTGTGTAGAGGTAGCATTCAAACGTTTCGTATAAACAATAATAATAAAATAATTTAAAGTGGTTCATCAGCTAATTTTGGGTGAATATAAATACAGTGGTTTTCCGTGGAAATAGATTCTGTTTGAGTCTGATCTCATCCTCTTGACAAAGTTGAATCAGATTTTAATTGATTTTTTTTATGTATTTCTGTTGTTTTCAAAACTGCTTCTAATTTTAAAGAAGTACTAAATTTTATATTTTTCCTTTGCAAAAAGCTAAAATTTTTTACTTAAAAACATTTTCAAAATAGTACATTACAACATGATATAAACAACGAAAGACGGGGCTTAATAATTTATAAAACTATTTTAAAACTTCAGTAGTGTGCTACTGAAAATGACAGAGCATATCATTATCTTTTGAAACATACTGAGCCATTTTTAAATTTTTTTAAGTCACAAGATTGTAACTTAATATATCTTTGACGTCAGTTTATAAGGTATTTCTCCCGCCTTCCTAGCGTGCCTTCGTGGTGTAGTGGTTCTGCACGCTGCGCCGGTATTCCAGAGATCCGTGGTTCTTTTCCCAACGAAGGCGTTTGCTCATTTTTCACCTCTCCCACTTTTCCAATTAACCTAATATTTTTACAAGTTTAACTTACGCATTGATAACGCCACTAGGAAGGTTTCAGCTGACTAAAAGAAAAATTAGTGTTACTTACTTGTAATATATACAGCTAAATAATATCAAGAAATGTTGATTAATAATTTTCAAAAAATGGATATGTTTATCTTTTCAGGATAGACAAAAGAAGAATAGAATGCAATTTTGAAGAAGTTGGAAAGAAATGTGGAAAAGAAGCTTTATTGTTAATGAAAGAAATAATGTCATCCTATACTAAAGTAATAGAAAAAAGCTGCAGTAAATTCGATTTTTGATGTATAACAATGCAGCAACTTATACATTTTGGAATATTAATAAATTATTTAGATGAGAATCAATAAAAGTGCTTTTGCTTCTTTATCATTATTTCATAGTTGAGTTAGATATACCTCAGAGATATAAATAATTTATCAATTAACGATTTGAGAGGCTGCGTAATAAGTTTTAAGAATATATGACTCCATCCATAATACCTGTAATTTTAAAGTTGGGCTGGGTATCATTTGTGTTCTCTTCATAAAAACTCATAATACACAGTGGTTGTGCAACATGTTTATTAATTTAAAAGTGTGAGGCCAAAAACACACCTGTCTATTGAAAAATGGCTAGTGGTAAAGGAAGCAAGAGTTCAAAACGATTTCACAGACAAATTTATCTAAGAAATGGGCATGTAACTGTAATTGTAATTGAATTATATAACCAAAATGCGCCACCTAGATGAGTCGCAAACGAATAAGAAAGACGATAAAGGACGTTGCGGTGTAATGATGTGAATATTCTTCTTTTCTTATTTTATCACTTTTAATTCAGATAAATAAATCGTAGTTTAGAAATAACTTGATAGTGCTTTATGAAAAAAGGAAGAAAGTGCCCAACAGTAAATTTTTTCAAAAACTGTAAGAAAGATAGTCCTAACAGTTTAATAACTCACTTAACATTTTCAATGTCCATGAAGTTATTGCACAACCCTACATAATATAAAGAAGTAAGCAAAGTAATTAAGAAGATATTTTGCAAATTAGCAAACTTTCTATTTTTTATTTCAGATCTCAAAGGGCTATGAATAATGGCCATCATAAATACACTAGGACGTTATTATTATTTATGAATTATTTTACTAAGTGGTTCGAAGCGACCTCAATTCCAGACCAAGAGCCTGTCACGACAGCTGAAGCTCTGTTACAGAACTGTGTGTCCAGGTTTGGGACTCCCCTCCAGATTCATTCCTCCCACAATGTATTGGAAATCAAGAAAACACAGCTGACCTGTTACAACCGCAGTGTGATGGCATGGTGGGGAGGTTTAGACGTACAATTCTGAACCATCTCACGCTTTCCAAGAACCAAGAAGTTCTGCAAACTGCCGCTGTTCCTGCTTGCTTACCGTAGTGCCGTCCGCGAGAGCACCGACTATTCTCCATCTCAGATGCTCTTCCTTCATGATCTCCGTCTTCCAAGTGACCTGCTCTTCACCCGCCCTCCAGACCTACATTCGTTGTCTGAGGAGTACGTGCAAGACCTCCAGGCCCGGTTGGAAACGGTACACAGGTTTGCTCGGAAGCGAACCAAGATATGAAGAAGAGATATGAAGCAAAAGCCACCGAACGTCAGTTCCAGGAAAACGACAAGACGTGGCTGTGGATTCCGAGTCATCTTAATGGTATTTCTCCGAAACTACAGTCGCATTGGGTAGATGCCTATACAGTTCTCAACAGACAAAACGACGTCGTAGTACGGTTCCGTAAGTCTCCCAGTTCCATTATGACATATTAGCCCCATACTATGCCCATAGTATATAATGGTTCTTTTTCGGGACTCCAATAATCATTATAAATCAATTTTCCTATATAATTTCTGTACATAACATGTACGTAGTTTCTTGTAAATAGTGTAAACATTTGTTTCTTTTATTTTTGTTTACTTTATTCTTTTGTTTTGTTAACGTTTTTAGTACTTAATTTGGGTTCTGATTAAGCACTCTACTGATCGGGGTGAGCACTCCTTGGGACGCAGTGCGTCGAAATTCCCAGTTGCGGTAAGATAACTTCCCCGTAAAGTGGGGTTAGGGTTCCCAGAAAGTAGCTGGGGAAGGCAGAGTTGCCAGATTTCCGCGAAATCACCCATTTGGTGATATGGCATAGATGGAGCGAGAACATTTTAGAACGCATTCTTATCTGTTTTCCCAAGAATATTCTCGAAATTATGTCAAAGCTATACATATCCTGCTCATACACCGAGCGGAAGTATCTCGAATTCAGTAGTGTAGTAGTGTCTTGAGTTTAGATATTAGCTTGAGAACGACTGACCGAATCTGGAGCTGTCATCATAATTATATCCTGAAGGTTGTGTTTCAGCATGTTTATTATAGTTTTTCTACAACTTTACCGTGTCTTTGGAACTGTCCTGTGTAATAGTAATAATAGTGCTTACTGGCGAATAAAGTGTGTTTTGATTCTTCATCAAGTGTTACCATCAATTACTCCAAATCCATTATTATTAATTACCAGTTGGAACAGTGAAATTACATTACTTTGTAGAGACATTAGGATTTTTTTGAAGCAAGAGAGATGAAAAATTAGCAATCGCCTTCGCCGGGAATCGAACCACGGACCTCTGAAATACCAGCTCAGTGTGCTGACCGCTACACCACGAATGCACGCTAGGAAGGCGGGAGAAATACCTTATAACCTAAACTTATTAAAATTGTTATATATTTTTGTTAATAACTTGAGTTTTAGAAAAAATGTATATTGTAACAGACCTATTTAAGTGTAATTGAACTATTTTATTCACGCCATGAACTCATGAACTGTAACCGAACTATTTTATTTAAACGCCATCTCGTGGCGATATGAAAAAACGTCAGTCGACCTCCAGCCGCCATGATGATAGTTTACTATGTTATGTTATTCAAATGTTTGATGTTCCATTTGGTATATGTTTCATTTTTATGTATATTTCTTTTGTTTGTAACCGTTCCTGCGTGCTCTGTTAATAAATCCTTTTAAAGCTAGCCGGCATTAGTGTCTATTGAGGAACGGCTACATCACAATATAATAAAATATAAAACTCAAAAGCAAATATAAATTTATCTGTAAGTTAAGTATAGTTCAGTATATTAATTACGTATGAACATAATAACTATGAATTACAGCACTTTTGATTTTTCATTAATTTTCTATGCACTGACTGTCGAGTAGATTAAACGTATGGTTAAAATTTTAACGTATAGTTAACATTTTTAATTACTGTAAGATCATGATAGCCTCCATTTAATTATTTTTTACATTATTATTATGATATATAATCTGTGAAAACTCGGCTGCTTAATTTATAAAACTATTTTAAAACCTGAAAAAACCACAACGTTCTATAGCAAAATACGTTGAGCCATTTTAATTCAAAGCCGAAGACGGCGTTTGGTCGGATGTTAAAGTGATATTTTTTTATGAATCGTTTTCGTCAATTTAAATTATGCATCAATAATGTCGCTACATAATTTTAGGCGGATTTCGGCTAGTATAAAAGTAAGACTAATAATTTGTAATACATACAGCTAAGTAATCTATAGATTTGTTGATTAGTAATTTTATTTCTCTTTCTGGGATTGACAAAATAAGGATACAATGCAATTTTGAAGAAAATGGAAAGAAATGTGAGGAAAAAACACTTTATTGTTAGCAAAGGGAATTATGTCGTTGCATACCAAAATGGTAAAGATAAGCTGCAGTAAGTTTCAATTTTGATGCATACGCGGGTACTTTTCGTCTGTTATAAAGTTTTACCAAGGAATTACATTAAAGAGATAAATAAAAGTGCATTTATTTCCTTATCATTATTTTTTATCCTTATGTAATTTACGACTTTGTTTCCTGATTATTACTACTATCCTTCCCTGTTAAATCTAAATACTTCAAATTCATATTATAAATATATATTAATAAGCCATTTTGTGGACTGCACATTGTTTTCTAAGGATAGATATCTGAATCCATAATATCTATAAATTCCAAAGTTGGACTGAGTATCGTTTGTGTTTTGGCTATGAAAAATTGATATATACATATAGAATTACTGAGCAACTTGCTTATTAATTTAAATGTGTGCAGCCAAGAACTTTTTTAATCTGCATATCGAAATATACCTTGCAGTAAAAGAAATAACACTTAAACAGATTTCACAGGCAAAGTGACAACAAAACAGAGAAAAACTATTCAGCAATAAAAATTTTCAAGATCTGCGAGAAACACTGCTACAACTCAAGTAAACAGCTCGACGAATTGATCTTTGAACTTTCCCATGAGTGGTTGAAAACAGTACACATTAGTATGAAGAGGCGGACATTTATTTCACAATTTAGCCACTTTTTAGGCTCTTTATTCTACTCAATAATGATCATCAAAACAAAAACAATATCACATGTGAAAATTGGTTAGTATCATTCCACACTATTATAAGTATTAACTACTAGAATCATAAAGTCTGTCAGATGACTTTTCGTTATGCCTTAACTTCTTAATATGTAGTCGACTTAACAATCAGGCTACATATTTAACAAACACACAAGCAGAACATTTCAGACGTAGAAGATTTAAAATAAGTCTTTTTATTTACTCCTTATCCTGACGTCATAGAATTTAGTAATAATAACAAAAACTCAATTTCATCCAGCCCTCGGAATGTTCAGAGCAAATGTTCAAATTACATCAAAATATTAAATACAAGATAAAATGCTAATCATAGTCCTCAATCCACAATTACAGCAATTATTTTGTATTTAATGATATTCGTCGTCTATAAAGCACATAACTGCGATTCGGTTTTTTTCTTCAGCTATTATCGAGATTATTTTTTTCTCAACTCCGTCTCTTTGTCTTTACAAATGTCTCCTTGTAGCTACTCATTAAAATTCTTGTAGCTACTCATCAAACTGATTCTCGTTGCTACCTACTCGTTTTGGCACATATCGCTCAAAATTAAAACACCAGCTTCCAGATGTACTACTACCGATAACCTCTATTATTTACATTCACTTTCATGGCCTGGGAGATTTAAGTTATCAGTAAGCTGCAAGATGTACAATAAACCTTTTTATTTTTTGTACGAAGTAAAAAGAAAATATCGTAATCGCGAAAAATTTCGGAAATCATATTTCAAAGAAAATATCGAGTTTGACCGCTATCCAATGCAATTTAATGATGTTTTTGCGTGACATCCTCAAGTAAGGACAGAATAAAGGACTCTTTTCCTCCCCAAAAAATATAAAACTGATATAAAATGAATACTGAAGAGAATTTTTCGTGGCGTCTGTACGTACGTACGTATATCACATAACTCAAAGGCGAGTAGTCTCAGAACGTTTAAATTTTGTAAATAGGACTGCTATAACATGTAGATGTGCACCTCGTATTTTTGTTGCAATCGGCCGAACCAAATTTATATAAATATATGTATATATATATATATATATATATATCTACTCTGTGATCTCATTTTCTTTACTCTTATATGTTTGTAAGTTGTATATTTTTTGCTTTAAAAATAATTGAATTATGCTGTTCTGATCTTCCGGTTAAGGTTTTTATGCCTTTAGTAAATTTGTATGCAATATTTTACAATTATCAACAATTTAAAAGTTGAGTAAGTGCCGCTAAGCCTAATAACTTTCTCCATGTCGGCCATTGCTTGTGTACATTTGAAACAATAGAATAGATTTGTTGCCAGTCTAGAGAAAGTAAGCTTCGAAACAACAAAGATTACGCCTTCTTTTATTATTGCGAATTAAATCATGTTAAATCCATTCTGGAATTTATTCACGAAACTAAGTGTTTAAGGTATACTTCGTAATTTTTAATATAGATATTTTGAGTTTCTATGTATTTTTGCCTTGTCGGGAATTGAGAACTGAATTCATTGAATGAGAAATACTAAATCGTCTGTGAAAAGCTGTTTCTTTTTTGTTTTGTTTGCTTAATTTCTTTTATACATCGTTTTAGATTGATTATAGTATTTGAATAGAACATGTGGCAAGGATTAGATAATTCTTCAAATGATATAAATTTATAAGTATTCTGAGTTATAATATCGACGAAATGTAACGCTGTTAAGTGAACCTACCGCCAGAGTGTCGCAATGGTAAACAAATATAGTGAATTTTAAAAAGTGTATTTATTCTATTGTGGTTTATGCGCTATCAACAATGTAGATTTAATTCAATCCAATAAGTTTAAATGAAATGCAAGAAAAAATGCGTATAATTTAATATTCCGTGCAAGGAAGTCATGTGGTGTAAACATCAGATTTTTTATTGTATGTTTCATAGTTCTAGCATGTATCGCTATTAAATTTTTACATTAATTGGTGGAAATAAACTGTTGAGGATTACCTTGCATGCAATAAGCTTTGTCAATTGTTTATGATAATTGTTCAATGTTGAGATTATATACTTGTGTACTTTTTTTAGCACTTCAAAGAAAACTTCTTGAAGGCATTTGTTATTTAAAGTTTAATGATTTCGTTTCCTGGCAAAATAGAAAGCAATGTTATTTAAGTGAAATTTGTGTCTCTAGCTTAGTCTGCAAACAGTCCCATAAAATAAATCCACATCTTTATCTTGAATAATTAAGTATTCTTATTATTAAATAATTAAACAAACCTTCACTAGCAAGAATTTGCGAGAAATAATATAGCAGAAAATATTGCTTTCCTTCTGACTGATTTTGCAATTTTGATTAGTTTGGTTTATGTGATTACGGCAAAGCCTCGGAGGCAATCTGCCTAAGGGGAGGGATACCCTCTTAGAAAGGGTACCTCGCTTTCTAAGAGAAACTGTCTGGTAAACACGTTACACATTCGTTGGAAACCAACGAAAACACCCATGCGGCCAGCCCGTTCGGGGGATTCGAACCTCGGACCGCGACTATCAGTGTTCAGCGACTTTACCGCTCGGCCTCTGGTGGGAATTTGCAATTTTTGAACAGCTTGGTTTAAAATATATGACGATTTTATGTTTCATATCATTGGTTTCTCCAGGATTAGTTCTTAAACTATCCGACTTCTCTTTACAACTTTGCTCAAATATTTTTAAGTGTTAAAGTGAAATTTATATGCCAAGAACATGATGAAATTTCATTTTAATCTAATAATTTATATAAGTTAACATCTGAGAACTTTAACTCATTTGTATTTTTCAAATTGGGTGAAGCTTTTCTTTTTCTATTTTTTTAATAATATTATGCTATTAAAAACTGCTATTCTGAATTAGCGATTATAATAAATTCAGTAACACAGATATGACACAGATAATGGGTACATGTCATAATCCAAATTGCATTTATGTAAGATCAGACATATCCAGCTTTTAAAAAACCTAAAGTTCTGGCGCGCTAGTCAACTATGTAAAATGTAAGATTACATAATCTTTTCAGTTGGTTCAAGCACGTGTTTCAAACACATGTTTTCCGAGATTAAACTAAATTTAAGAGATTTATCTTACGCGGCAGGTACGAATTTCTTTAATTTCCCATGGGAATCATTTTGCTTAGATTGATTTGTGTAGCTTATGATAAAATTCTATTTAACGCTATTTTCTGATTTAGCATTCTACACATCGCAGTTCAAACCTTCTTCGATCTGATAGTTGTAGTTTTGCTTTCAAGATGCTACTTTATGTTGCTTTAGCAGTTGCGGCAATGGGTAAGATATTTTCAATTGCCTGGCATTGCTGACAGTTTTCATAAAATTTGCTTCACGTAACTTTAGTATACGTAAAATTATGCCAACCACTATGCATTAACCAGGGGTCGATTTTTAATTTTTTATTTCGGATGCGCTTCAATATAGTCCCCCCAATTTTCCACATCTTAAACCATTATCAGTTGTAGCCCATTTAGTTTTCCTTTTTTATAGTTTATATGGATAGTACCTTATTTCGATTTTTGATTTGTCATATTCACATGAAGCAGGTGCGTTAGAAATTACCCAAGGGAAGCATTCCTTTACTGTAAAAAGAATTTGTAATGTGTTTAACTTCTCTAAATTTAGTTTATTATATATTACATTATTCTCACCTTGTATTCCAAGTATCATTATATAATTAGCGCAGTAAGTGGAATTTCATATTGCTTATTGAGAACTACTAAATGTATCCTTTCGATGTTAAATTGTATCATAAGTGTTATAAAGGGAAAATAATCTTTGATTCGATACGCAATGAAAGTACTTTAAACTGTTCGTTTATTCGACTTAAATAAGCTTAAATACTAGAGAATTATTATTTTTCTATCATTTCCTTTCATTAGAAAGTAATTTAAAATTTGATAAGAAATGCAAGTAGAAGTCACTTTACAATGCACCTAATTATGCCTTTTATTCGGATGATCTGAACTGCACTCTTTAAACTCAAGTCTCTTGTAGTCAGTAAGCATTTTGAGATACAGTTTGTTTCCCGATGATATCGACTGTTCGAGAAGTATGGTAACAGTTTCTAAAAGTGCACTGCTTCTATTTTGACTGAATCTGTGCCTCGGAAATATGATTTTAATATAAATTTATCGTAACAGAGAGTATTCGAAAAGGATGATTAAAAGTTTTATTTCCATAAATACTGATTCTGTTGGGTACTGAATTAGTTCTAGCTGTTTGTTTACAGAAAACACAAGTTTATCTTAATAGAAAGGTATAAGATAATTTACTGGTAGTAGTGGGTACTTCGGCAGCTACAATTTTTTCCCGCTTTTCGGGTAACAAATGGATTCCGCGATAAAAAAAAAATCGTTTCTTTTGAGGTGATCCACTCATAGAGCCAGTTCTCCAGATCTTTATAAGACGTGAAGTGTTGTACTAAAAGGCCTTGATGCATGGATTGAAACAAATATTAATCGCTAGGGGTGATGTCTGGTGAATATGGTCGATGCAGTAAAATATTTTATCGAAGTTCCCTTCAAGGTTTCCTTCACTCGGTTTTCAACATGTGGTTTGGCGTTGCCATGAACCAGAATTGCTTTATCATCTCCCTGAGCGTATTGTCGGCGTTTGTTTTTTTAAGTGTGCGGTTCAAATGGAGCAATTGTTCTTCCTAGCCTTCAGCAATTGCCGTTTGACCCGGTTGCAACAGCTCATGGTTCACCACACAGACATGATTCCTCCAGATGTACAGCATAATCTTTAGTGTTTCAGACAGCTGTATAACTGTAGAACAGAGATGAATCCTCTTCCAGTAATTCCTCTAGTTGTCCATCATCCTCTAACGTTTTCGGCAGACCAGGACACATTACGTCACTCAACTCAAAATCGTCTTTGATTCGTCGAAACCAATCTCTTCCCATTGTTTCTGACACAGCATGTTCTTCATAAGCTTCCACTATCAAAGTATGATTTACCACAGAATATTTCTTAAGATGAATGCAGAAGAATAAAACTTCAAGCAAATTCTGTTTTGTACGTACAAAACCCGACATGTTCAAGTCAAGTACCCCCATAGGTATATTTTTCACTCCACTCGCAAGTCACAAACCTAATGTTTTTTCACTCCACTCACATCTAAAAGCCTAATGTCTCTACTGTTAAATACGTCTCGGGTCGCTCTCCACTAAGCTTCACAATACAACTACTACCATCTCTGGGTTAATTGCGAGAATTTATTCAATCTCCCGATAGACGTATAAGTCAAGCAAACATTTTTTAGAACCAGGTAGTTAGTTTCATTAAAATGTCTCAACAGCCTGGATGAAAAGATGCTAAAAAGGTAAATCTAACTTTCTACTTCAAAACATGCATAAAGAAAATATAAAACATCCATAATGCTTTAATTAGTTAAACTTTTACTAAAAGAAGCACTTGAAGCACATATCCCAGTGCGCAAAACCGAGCATTCGATCAACAATTGATGTCAGTTATGCGCAGCAATTCCATGCTGATACTGTTTTCACATTATTGTATCAGACATGTACATAGATCATAGTAAATGCATAGCCTCACAGTCTGAAAGATCCTTAATTATTTCTTGCTCATTTGCATCATAATTGTTATCTGGATTTGCCATATTACAACTCGTTCATTTGGATTTATATCTGGATTCATTTGGAGTTCCTGTATTATGGTCTTTTAGAAAGCCAAACTGCATAGCGTAAGTGGGAACTAAAGTTATTGCCTTAGGTTTGGTTTGGTTAATTTGATTACGGCAAAGAACTCAAGGGCCATTTGCCTAAGGGAAGGATGCCTTAGTGGAGAGCATTCTAAGGAAATATGGCTCGTATATACGTTACACATGGGAAAAACCAAGAAAACAACCATGCAGCCAACCTCTGACCGAATCCCGGCGAATCCGAACTATGAGTGTTCAGCTACTTTACCGCTCGGCCCCTGGTAAGCCTATTGCTTTAGGACTTCGAGATTTAGTGTAGCTGAAATCTGTAATTTGTGAAATCGTTGTTAATAAAAGAATCTCAATATTTAAGAACAATGAACATACATTGAGTGCCTACCTAATGAGAATAAACATACAGGCATTAAAATTAAATTTATTCGTGGTAGTGTAAATGCACATGATATCAAAATTAAGTTTGTTTGTTCTAATGCTCAAATTGCTAACTTCTTTGCTTAAGTGTAAACTGAGTGAATACTTACTTACCTTTACCTTTGTTTCGTTTAGTTATCTTAACTTTTGTTTGAATGCGAGATAAAGAGAGGGAGTTGTAGATGTAATTTACATACACCGCATCTGATTCTATAACTTTATTTCAATTGATAAAATAAAATGTAAAACATGTGTAGCTAATCTCCAGATCCGCAAATCTTTACCGAGACATAATGGTGAATTCGCAATTCAGAATTTTCCTTCCACGTACTGAATTACTTAGAAAAAGAGAAAATGAATAAAAATATTCTACATTACACTACATTATGCTACAAAAAAATACTACATTCTTTGAGTTTTGTTTAAATGACAATTTAATTTAAAGTTAATCATCTTACTCATTAATTTGTAATTCCTTTTGAAAGTCTGGCCCACCAGCGGCCGAGCGGTAACGTCGCTGAACACTGGTAGTTCGGTCCGAGGTTCGAATCCCGCGAACGGGCTGGCTGCATGGGTGTTTTCGTGGTTTTCCCCGTGTGTAACGTGTATACGAGACAGTTTTCCTTAGAAAGTCCTCCACGAAGGCATCCCTCCCCTTAGGCAGATTGCCCTAGTGTACTTTGCCATAATTAAATACACCACACCACACCTTTTGAAAGTCTGATTTGCATTTTAATGTATCGTTAAAAAATTTTGTTTTTATAGTACTCAGTTTTGCATAATGTAGTATTTTTTACTCATTTTCTCTTTTTTCTAAGTGATCAAATACATGTCGGGAAAATTCTGAATATATTTGAGATTCGGTCTGTCAGTTTTAATTGAATTTAAGTGTTTTATTGAAATTTAAATCAATCTTTTATCGGTTTTTGATCTCAAATGATTCAGAAGAACGAAGCATGTATTCGAGTCACATTAATCGACTTTAATGAAGCTTTAATTAATTTTCTCTTGGTGAGTTCTGAATAAAGGTTTCAGACAAAGGAGATTAATTCGTAGTTTTTATTTCGATTACCAGTTTGCATTTTTATTTCTTGGGTTTATTCTACTGATGAATTCTTATATTAATTTTGATTATGTTTAGTCACAATGTTAGACTCTTTATCCACGGCTTCAATTATTAACATAATAGGGAATTATCTTGGTTTGATTACAATTTAATTTAATTGTGGATGCCTTATGTTTAATTTACTTCAATCTTGCAGCGATAGCGCGGGACAGGTTAAAACACATTTTTGTTTTTATATATTACTTTGTTTTTCTTTGTATATATAAAAAAGCAGTTAGTCCAGTAAATTATCTTAGGAATTATCTTAGTAATGGTAACTGCTGTTGGTACATTTTATTGCACCGTACTTTTGGTATTATCTAGCGTATTGTTTATGTACCTTCTTTTTATGCATTTAAGCTTTATTGGATTTAATGGAAACTTTTAATTTATTTTTTGCTTCACCGTTAGAAAATTAAACATTCTATAGATCATTTTATATTATGCCATGTCTCCTAGCGCTGTCATGTGTAGCAGCGCAAGATGAGGAGTTCTGCCCTCTAGTCGGGTTGTTTACTTGCGCTCATCTTGTCGATGTGACTAAAGAAGATATTGGTTATGAAGAAAATGAAGAAGCACTAGACAAAAAATGCGGGTGAGTTTTCTCTTTTTCTTGTCAACAGTTATAAACACTAAAATTATGCAGAAAGAAATATGATTTTTTAGAATTAATTTCATACTTCTTGCTTAGTTGGCAAATATAATAAAGATAAATGATAAAATGTTTTTATAGCTCTCTCATGTTACATTAACAGGATTTTCTATATTCTTCTGAGTTTCTAATATAATTAGTGTTTTAATAGTTTAAATAAGTTTAAATTTATATTAATATCATCCATAGCTATGACAGTCATCTTAAATAATCAAGTCTGCTTATATTTGAGGTCACACGTGACGCAAGAGGGAGTTTACTTTAAGTAACTGTAATTAGAAACAAATATTTCATTTTCCTTTCGGAAAGAAAATAAGATAATAAGTGGTGGTTAGCATTTTGAATATATACTTGAATTTGGCACCAGAACTAGTGAATCAAGACTAACTCCTAATACAGTAGTCGCAAAATTCATTTTAACATAGTTATGAGTAAAATATCCCCTCATTCGGCGGCATCAGTTTAAATAGAAGAAAATTCATGGTTTTATTCAACAAAATGAGTTGCTTCTCTTCTTCAAAAGAAACTTTCCTTGTCCTATCCGCCCCTCATCTTATATTATGATTCTTAAATAAGGGAGTCTCAAAATTATAGTCCGTAAGCCAGCTGAAATATATCAACTTAAATGCATTCCTAATGCACTATCTACAGATAAGTATTCGTAAACGTGGAAGAAAAAAGAAAAACAAAACTTATTCACCCTTAAATAGCTCCACGAGCGTCAGTTATAGCCTCGAACCTCTAGGCCAGCGGTTCTCAACCTTTTAACTAACGCGTATCATCTAAACAAAAACTGAAAACCTTTAGTACCACCACTACACTTTAAAATGATTATTTTTCATTTTTTCAACAGAAATTAAAAAAAAAAAAAAATTCTGAAAGTTTTCGGGTTTTATATTATGCCCAAAGGGGCGTTTTCTAACGTTTCATGTGTCACCTTTATTTATTAAATATCATGTTCTTCACATTTAAACCATAAAATTCAATTCAACAGCAATATCACAAAATATTTAAAAGAGCATATCTTTAAAATTTCTGATACACAGTCTCGCGCGCTAGGAATATTTTTTCCCTTGCAGTGTTACCATTGCCGTTGAGTTGTTAATCAAAAATTCGTTAAAGTGTTACAAAATAGGAAATCGATAATAAAACAAATTCCAAATTCGGGCTTTCAGATACCCATATTCGGTGGAGAATTACATTATTCAAAATTTGATGGCCCTAGGTACCGTTGCATGAATACAATGCGAGAAATATACATACATTTATGACGATTATTCATTGTTTAATTTCTTTAAATATAACGCCGGTATATAATATTGGGTGGCAAAAATTTGAAAAGTGAAACGGATATTTATAGTGATTCAACACAAAATGCCAAAACGAAGTTAATAGCCCTTCTGGGCTAACGCTCTTTGGGATAAAAAGAAAGAAAGAAAGAGTATTGTATACAATATTATTAAATTCGAAAGCAAGTATAAAATTATAAAAATAAAAAGTAAAAATCTGATAGCTTTCAGATTTTACATTACGCCTAAAAGGTCGTTTTTTTAACGTTTTGTGTGTTACCTTTATTAAATATCATGTTCTTCTCACTTAAAACACATAAAATTTAATTCAACAGCAATATCACAAAATATATAAAAACAACATACTTTTAGAATTTCCGATACACAGTCTCGTGCGCTGGAGATGAATTTTTTATTTATTATTTTTTTTTCCCCTTATCAGGACTTATATTCCTCTTTACTTGCTTTGGAAACATGAACTGTCCTGACTCGGAACAGGGAGCTTACTCAAGCTATGTTCAATAAATTGTGAAGTAGACAATACACACAGGAAGGGTATACAAAACAATCTGCTTAAGGGAAAGAATGCCTTCTGTGAGGATTTCTTTAAAGGAAACTAGCTTGTATTGAAGTTTCACATGATTACAACGACCACCGAAAAAAAAAAAAAAATTCCCTTGCAGCCTACGCTAAAACTTTAAACCGGGACGAACTATAAAAGTTCAGCGAAAAAAGAATAATAAGGTAATAATAACTTGTTAACAGTTTATTGATAAGTACATGCTAATTGGCCATTCTTGGTAAATACATATAAACGTACAACAATAGGTATAGAGCAAAGAAATTTTATAGTACATTCAATATTTCGGCCAACACAAAACGAGTACGATCTTTGATCTAGCGGCCGAGCGGTAAAGTCGCTGAATACTGAGAGTTCGACCAGGATTTGATTCGTTTCATGCGTGTTCATGCGTTTTAATGGCTTCATGCGCGTTTTCGTAGTTTTCCTCAACTGTATCGTGGCTACGGTCCCATTTCCCTTATGAAACCCTCAGTGAAAGCATCCCTTCCTTTAGGCAGATAGCCCTAACGTGCTTTGCTATAATCACATCAAACAAAAACCGAAAATCTTTAATTTCACTAAATTCCTAAACATAACAATGGTTTTCAGAGGTTGTCAAAGTCACCAAATTTAAAAACAAAAATCGCATTTACGTTTTTCTCAAAGTTAGTAACAAACTATCATTATTTCTATGCATAAATAAATGAAGTGTATAAGCATTACGCAAAGTAGCAGAAATATCAAAATACTGTTAGCCAAAGTAAATCCTAAATAGATTTATGAATTATAGATCTGTTCTTGAAACTCTGAAAGTACTGACTAAATGTGCAAATATTTATTATGTTACCTTTTGTTTTACTTACATAACCTCTCTCATCTGAAAATATAGGGAAACGAAGCCTTTTATGAAATGCTTAGTGCATTCTGCAAAGAAATGCCCTGGTCACTCAGAAAACCATTTCTATCAGTATTTCAAAGATCAATATGACACATTGCTCAGGATCTGTGACCAGAATGATGACCTCAGGAAGAGTAAGCTGAACTTTTAATTATAATGGGAGTTTTTATTACAAATTGTTTCCTTTTTCAATTTCTAATATAAGATAATTTTATTGTAATGTGAAAGCATTTTGTTATGCGCAATGTAAAGTTTTGGTCTATCAACATTTTGAAGACTTTATAAGGTATATTTTAAGTTTATAGCAGTTATTTTAATTGAATTTTACTTTCCTATCGCTCTTTCTTTCAACTTACAACTCCCTACCAGAATGAGTTTTTAAAATCGTGTTAAATGCAAATGAGTAAGAAGTGGTATTTAATGAAGGTTCAACTTGCTTCGTGAGAAAGAGCTAGGAATCCTGAGTAGCGCACGTTTGCCTTCGGGCTAAATCTCTCGAAGCTGTTACTCTCGGCCGTATATTATGAGCCTTTTGATATGCCCCAGCTAGTTCAGATTAAAGGCCACTATATTGGATTTGTGTTAGCTTCGATTAAATCTCTTAGTTAGTTACAGTTAGTTCGTATTTCTTATTTTCAGTTTAACCTTTAAAAGACGGGTGGCCTAAGAATCGGCTAGAGCTGCAGTGTCTTAAAAAGACGGCCGAAATATCGGCCAGCGAATTCCCCTCCCCCCCCCCATCCTTCAGGGTGCGGAGATAGTCATTGTCCGAATAACCTCCCTTGCCACTTATGCGAGATGATATTCGCGACTCCTAACTGTGGGGTTTCGTAAATTCTCTTTCGTTTCCCTCAGCAGTGAAGTCTTAGCAATTTTTACATTATTAATCTTAGCAATTTCACCAACTTTTCAGTGTCATTAAAAATGTATTTTTTCTTTATATTTCCTCTTTTTATTGTAATTTTTGTATTTACTATTGCTGTTTGAAACATGCAAAATGCAATGGAGTGCTATGCAATGCAAATATAATCAATAAAATATGTTTTTAAAATAAAGGAAAATAGTTTAAAAAAAAAAAAAAAGCTTTTATCACAAAACTGCAAGAAAGAACAATGAATAATAATGTAGTTGAAAGATGAAATAACGATACAATGTGGGGAAAAATTAATAAATTAAACTGAATAAGAATACTAATGAAAAAAATAAACAAAACTAATATAAGAAAAATACAACGGGATTTGTTTGATATATAAATATAAGCTGTTGTTATATCATTATAGCATAATATAAATTCATACCTATTATTTACTACTGAACATCATTACTGTGTAATTACTCTTATCAAAGTTCATACCAGATTTTGTGGGTAGGTAACGGTATGTATATGGGTAACATAACAGAACATTTCAACTAATATTGTATCAATCACATAACATAGTATATGAGTAGTTATCATAGTGTAACATAAAAACAAAATATGCAAACAATTCTAAATTTCAGGTATATGCGTTGTGTAGGCTAAAACCATTCTATGACTAAGGTCCAGTGTAAAGAATTAACTACAACAATTACAAGGCTAAGTAGGTAAAATCAATCTAACGTTTATTAATGAGCAAATTTGTATGAATACTTTACATTTTTAACAAGGGTGGCGGCAGGTATGCCTTAAATCTGAAGAAACAATTTAAAAGACATACCTGCTTACAAATTTAACAATTTCACCTTTCGAAGGCATCAAACAATATTTTGGGTACTTGGTACAGGCGACGCGAGCTAGAAATAACAATTTCGTCGGTAGAGGTTTCTGTAAAAGAAAAACAATCAGAATTAATAATGTGCAACACTTTCGGACGCCTGGCTCTCCGCCTCACAGCCGCTTCCAACCGGCAGGACTGCGTTCATCACCAAAACGCTGGCCATTCTGCAAGTCTGGTGCTACAACTGCTTCCTTCGGGGTAAGCTGTTTAATCTCTTCGTCTACTCAGAATCACGGTCTGCTGGTCCCCGCTCTGCATCTTAGAAGTCCTCGAAAAATTAAAAAAAAAGTCTCCTTGGTCCCTTCCTTCAAAAAAACAAACGTGTCATTCAAAATGGTTTCCTCGTCTCCCCCGAGAAAAACACTGCGCATGCACTTTAATAGCTGGCGCATTTTTTGAAAATTTGGCGTAGATGGGGATCAGCAGGAAGCCAAAAACCTGCAACTCGAACCGAGAAATCTTCACGGGAAGGGGTTTCCCGACTACCAGAATAGCCAGTTATCTCCATTCATCCATTCAGCTTCCAAGGCACACCAAATCTGTCAACAAATCCGCAGACAAAAACAAGGGGGTATAATCTAGCCTCGCTCGAGGTCCCAGTCGACCATGCAGAGCTTCTAACCCAACGAATATTTTCCCCTCCATAAAATACGCTGTAGAACCTCTCCATACTCGCCTGTCCAGCAAAACAGGGTCCTCTTTTCAGGAAACTCCATATGGTGTATCCATCCAACACGTCACCCACACATATGGTTTTTAGCTTGGGTGAAAGAATTTTTGGGGTGCAGTAAATTCCTCTGATAAGAGATTCCGAGAATGAATTCCAAACTGACGGTAAGGGGTGAAAATTTTCTGAACCAAGTTAACACAAAATGACTTTGGGAAATTAAAAATGAAACTACTAATTACACAACAATATAATTCATTAAAAAATGTCAGCACTATATAAATTGTTTCTTCAGCAGCAATTAAAGTGTACACACATATTATCCATATTGAATTACAATTACAATAGATTTTTCCTATCGCCAGTCAGAAAATATGTATTCGTTTAACTTTAATGGAAAGAGGGATAAAAAATTAAATTACTTAAGGTTAAGAGAAAAAAAAAATAGCACACCAAAAGTGCAGCAACAAGGCTTTAAAATAATTAAAGTTAAAAGTTAAACAACCTTAAAGGTCCAAAACACAAGATACAAAAACCAAAAATCTAAGTCCCTAAACTCAAAAAAAATTAAACAACTTCAACTCAAGAAAACTTTTAAAGCGACCTAACCTAAATTTAAAGTTTACAAAAGTTACAGTTTAAACTTACAACCAACTTTAAACAACAAAACAAAAAAAGGAAATTAAAAACTTCAATTACAGATCAAAACTGAAATAATAAGCAAAACTTAAGCTTGAAAATAAAAGCGATTAGTACATAACACTGTTACACAATGCTTGGAAACAAATAAAAGCGAACTGCCAATTTATACGAGAAACAAATAGTTAAACAAAATTTTCGAGTATAAATTTAAAATGTTAATTAGTACATGTAATTCTAAAATAAATTCAGAAAACAAATAAAAACTGAATAAACTACGAACTGATTATAGGCGTGCATTTGCTGCTAAGGCGTATTTTCATTATGATGCAATGTCAAAAGTTAATATTCCAACATACGACAATTATTTAGCTACGAAATCTCACCATAATATGTTTCTCTAGTTTAAGGAAAAGAAACATCAGAAAATAGAACAAATTCAACAAATTCTTTTACTTTATTCCCTAGTCTCTTATCTGAAAATTAACAAAGGCAGAAAGGGGGTGGAAATGCATTTGGATTTTCCGTCTTTTTAAGTGAAATCTTTCCAAACTGCCCCGTCTCTTAAAGGTTAAGCGCAAGTGGAGGCTATGTTGTAAGTCCGAAGAAAGGTATTGACTGTTCATCTTATTTTATTTGAAATAAAGGGTAGTTAACCCTTCTTGAACCAACTTTCTAATTGTTTGGACTCAGCGATACGTCGCTAATAAGTTCACTAGGTTCCTCGACGTTTATTTTAGTACCAAAATGTGTGAGGAATTCAACAACTTCTTTACCAGAACTTTGATCAAACAAAAGGAACTTTACATTCCTGCTTTATGAGTTCTAAATAAAGGAATCCTTTTAATTTTCTTTTTGCTCAGATAAATTTTATTTCATTTGAAAGTTGTTATTCTCCATGCACATAATTAGAGCTTTCCTTCCATAAGCTCTTAAAGGGTGCCCAAAAATTAACGCAAGATTTTAATTTGCCACTATTCGTGCAGTAAAGTTTTGGCAACCCTATTAAAAAAAGCCATTTGTTAGCTGATAGTTTACGGTTAGTAGAAAAGAAGAATTGCATAATAGTACAACGTGTTTTCATTGTTGAAAAATATCTCAAAAACAATGAAAGTCTGGCAGCCACAGTTCGTAAATTTCGATGAAGCCATTTTCACCTTGATGGCTTTGTTAAAACAATGAAAGTCTGGCAGCCACAGTTCGTAAATTTCGATGAAGCCATTTTCACCTTGATGGCTTTGTTAATCGTCAATATTGCTGCATTTGGGGTTCAAAGAACCCACTGTGATTGTCGAAAAACAAATGAATCCTCATCATGTCACTGTTGGGTGCGGATTTGGGGCTGGAGCCATCATTGGACCATAAAGCTAGTCAAGCAATAAATGTTACTGTTGCTCGATATAGCGACACGATAACACAGTTATTTATGCCTGAATTGGATGATACTGATGTGGACGACATGTGGTTTCAACAAGACGGTGCCAAATGCCATATAATCCGTGAAACAATTCAATTACTGCATGAAACATTTCCTGGCCGTTCTCTCTCGTTTCGGTGATGAGAATCGGTCCCCTAGATCGTGTGATTTCACACCATTAGATTTTTGTTTATCGTGCTGTTTGAAATCAAAGATTTATGCCTACAGACCCACAAGCATGCGTTCACTGAAGAAGAAAATTTAACCCTGCATCAACGAAATTCAGCCACATTTATGCAAAATGGTCATGGAAAATTTCGACAAAATAGGGAGTATGTGATAGCAAAGCTGTGGAGGCCATTTGCCCGATGTGTTATTCCATACATAAGCCTATCCTGTGTACTTTACGATTCAATAAAAAATATCGATTTAAAGAAAAAAATTGTGTTTTTTATTTAATTCAAATCTTGCGTTAATTTTGGGACACTCTTTATACTGCAATGGTCAGCCCATTGATCAAACACTTCAAAGACCCCCAAGTTTTAGTTAGTTTATGGGCTTTCTTTCAAAACTGTTCTTCGTTTTTACAGCTTCAAGTGCAGATTCTCAAAAAATGTTAATTGTTATTACATTCAAAACAACGTTATTTGGCTAATGTTTCTTTTAGTTAATAAGCTTTTAACGAATGAATATCGTAGCCTTTTAAAGCTCAAACTAAATATACCAGACACGCACACAAACAGAAAGCGAAATCTAGAAATTTTGGTGAACTTAATTGTAATACAGCTTACGAGCAACCATGCCAGTTAAGAGACAGGGACAGAGAGAAGGTAACGAAACGAAACAGCAAACGATAACAGAAAAGAAGCAGTGCGATGTAGTGATGAAAAATTAAATCAGAGTAAGAACTTATCTATATATGATCTATATATGAACGGTCTATACTGATCTTATAAAAAGTAGCATAGATTAGAATTTAAATCATTCATACATTAAACAATGTTGAGAAGTTTTTTATTAGGTATAAGAAGACTTAGGGTTCGTAACTCCTGGTCTCAGATGAAACGTTGAAGACCCTAGTGAACTATGTAGGGACTTATCGCAGAGTTTAAACAACTAAATACATAGACTCGAGAAGGTTTAAAACACCCTTTTATTCACTTAAATAGGAATAACAATCGGCCTCTTCTCGGTCTTACAGGAAGCCTCTACTCAGGCTTTAACTCAGATTAAGAAATAAGAAACTAAACTTTAATTAGCTAAAGAAGACTTAGCCGAAGCTAAACGCAAATATCTAACCTAGTTGGCCCTTAAATTAAACTAGACGGAAAATATCATTAGGCACGTATAATACTGACAAGCGTAACAGCTTCAAGAGTGACTGAAGGCAAACACGCGCTACTAAGGACTCCTAGCACTCTCTATCGAAGTAAGTCGAACCTTCCTTAAATATAACTTCTAACTCATTTGCATTCAAAGCTATTCTGAAACCTCATTCTGGTAAGGAGTTGTAAGTGGGAACAAGAATTAATAGAAAAGGGTTTCGAAATTAAAATAACTGTTATAAAATTAAAGTATACCTTTCAGCCTAAAGGATGTCTTTCATTCCTAGATGATAGCATTCGCTTTGTACCTTTCGTCAGTTCTTCCTTTTCTTGATTTTAATTTACTATTACCTGTTTTTCACCCAATGGCTCTTTCAGGAACAGTAAAATTAAATGTCAAAAGCAAATTTTGCAGTGGTTTAAAAATTTATGATGGGCAACAATTGTAAAATGTGTTACAATGAATATTTATCACACACATTATTCTATATTAGCCTCAAATTTCTCTTTACAGATATTGCTATGAAATTCCATCACCATGCATTATTTTTAAAGAAATAATATAGCATGTATAAAAAATATACTGCAACATAAATAACAGGATGTTGCCACCAAATGCTATTTTTGTGTGTTATTTGCAAAACGCTTATTTAATAATACATTAAGAAGAACTTGCGCTTTCCTTTGCTTACTTCTACAAATATATAATATCTAAAAATATATTATATTTTTATTCCTATAACATTTGTCCCCAATAAAAATAATATCCAATAAAAATATAATATAATTTTGTATCTTCAAAGCAATACGTACACACTCTTCTTTCCACAAAATAAAGAAAAAGTGTTTTTTATATAATAAACCATGCGTCAAATTTTTATTGCATTATTTTAATTCAAAAGTAATAATTAAAAAAAAAATCTGAAATGTTTCAGATTTTAAATTACGTCCAAAGGGTCGTTTTTTAACATTTTGTGTGTTACCTTTCTTTATTAAATATCATGTTCCTCGCACTTAAACCATAAGATCCAGTGCAACAGCAATATCGCAAAATAGTTTTAAAACGAGCATATCTTTAGAATTTCCGATACAGAGACTCACGCGCTGGAGATAAAAATGTTTTTTTCTGCACAACGTTGCCATTGCTCGCTTTGAAATCCTTGAGTTTGTTAATCAAAAATTCGTCAAAGTTTTAAAAAATAGGAAATCGATCATAAAACAAATTTCAAATTTCAAATTTGGTCTTCCACATGCTCATATTCGTTGGAGGATTACGTTATTCAAAATTCGATGACTCTATGTACCGTTATTTTATGACAATGTGAGAAATATACATACATTTACGCAGATTTTCATTATTTAATTTCTTCAAATATAATGCAGGACTCTAACATTTTATGGCAACAGTTTGAAAAGTGAACCGACATTTATCCGTCCGACGCAAAATGCCAAAACGAAACTAATAGTCCTTCGGGATTCAAATCCCTTTGGACTAATTAATTGTTAATAACAAAATTACTGTCATAAAACATAAAGTTTGTATATGTATTTAATATACTAAAATTAAACTAAGCTTGCTGTCTATTTACGTAAAACGAAATGCATATTCTATTTGTATTCAACTGAAGATATTTTTGAAAAACCAGTGTTTTCATGTTAAACAATAGTTCCCAAAGTAAGCAAAGAATACTAGATCTGTTATGTGGACGTTATGTAAATAGATGGGCTAATTTAATAACTTAATGAACTTAAATCCAGAAGGAATTAAGCCTATTTTAATTCACAATGATAAAAGAAGACGTTAAGATTACAATATCAAAGCAAAATGATTTATTTATTTTTTTCTTGTTGCCAACCTGAGAAAACTAAACTTCGCAACAACAAAGATATTATACGTTTAGGGATTGCTACAGATCTGTATACTGTACGCAGTTTAATTCCATTAGTCTCTATAGGCTGAACATTTGTCGCACATTTAGATTAATGTAGATGTCATGCGTAGTGGAATATATTAATTTAATAGCCTTCTGTACAATATAAAGTGTTCAATTACGTATTATATTTCATCATTTAAGTCCAAATTTAATTTTCCCTAAAAAACAACTGATTCACTTAATACAAATCCCGAGTAATTCTGATAACAGCTCTACTAATTAGGAAATACGAACGTAAAACAGTTTGCATTTCTTAATATAGTTTTCGCATTTCCTAATATATAGCTTTAGAAATTGAAATTCATGGAAATTAATGTAAAAAATACACATATAAAAGTCTGAAACCTTTCAGATTTTACACTACGCCCAAAGGGGAGTTTTTTTAGCGTTTTGTGTGTTACCTTTATTTATTACATATCATGATCTTCGGACTTAAATCGTAAAATTCAGTTCAACATCAATATTGCAAAATAATTTTAAAAGGAGCATATCTTTAGAATTTACGATACACAACAGTTCCGCGCGCTGGAAATAAAAATGTTTTTGTCCGTGCAATGTTGCCATTTCTCGCTTTGAAATCGTTATTTAATTTTTTTAAATTTAATACAGGGTTCTAATATTTGATGGCAACAATTTGAAAAGTAACCAACATTTATAGTGAACCAACGCAAAATGCCAAAACGAAATTAATAGCCCTTCTGGGCTAACGGCCCTTTGGGGTAATAAGAGTTGCCATTTCAGACTAGATTACTATATATTATTCCTGTTTGTTGTTTATTTTTCAGAATATTTAAATAATGCCAAGTGTCTAAGTAAACACAAGAAAGAAGTCGATAAGAAATGTGGAGAATTATTTGATTTTGACATGATAGATGACCTTGATAAGAACCTTTGTGCGTAAGTATTATTGTTAGATGAAATCCTTATTTGTGTAAGCATATCAGTTCATAACTAAATTATAAGTCATTTTCATTAATATTTGGTTGTTATTTGTGATGATTCTCTTCGAAAATATGTATGCAAGTTACTTTAAACAGGTGAAAGTATCTATGGTACATATATTTCACAGTAACTATTTTAACCATTCGCCGTGGAATATTAGTTATTAGTGGCATAGGAATAGTTGTAATAATTTATGACGTAGATTTGTATAATTCTTTTAAAATAAATTTAATTAAGTGCAATGGAATCTTAAATAAGAGGTAGGATTTGAATTTTCTGTGGAATGCACAGAAATTCATGAAACCAGAGAAGTTTAATAAACAGAAAAATATTAATTGTACTTGTAGAGGCATTAGGTTAATTGGAAAAGCCGGAGAGATGAAAAATGAGCAATCGCTTTCGCCGGATATCAAACCACGGACCTCTGGAAAACCGGCCCAGAGTGCAGAACCACTACATCACGAAGGCACGCTAGGAAGGCGGGAGAAATACCTTATATACTAAAGAAGTAAAAATCAAGATAAGTTGTATAAATTTGCGGACTGGTTTCCAAGGTTAAACAGAAATTCTTCTTCAGTTGCAGAAATGAAAATGATGCATAAGAAGCATATGCTGATGCGATAGCAACATACAAAAAATTTGAGAAAGCCCCTTTAAGAAAAGGAGCAAAGCTAATTGAGCTTTCTATTAACAAAACATGAATATAACATAACATTTAATGGCGCTTCCTCCTTATGAAAAGAAGGAAAAGAGTTTAGGCAATATTGCCCATTACTCTTCCGCCATTTGATCATTTAAATCAAGGGATTTAAATGGTAATTCCCGTAAAAGGTAAGTAATAAATAAATAGATAAGATCCCAAACTGACACCAAATCTATAGTATCACCAAAAGATCCCATCTCTAAGTTAGGATGTCGATTGGATCGTGAAAACTTCCCTATTGGATGAAGAGCCGATTCAATCCCTCCCAAACCAACAAACGCAAATTCTTGACCAAACAAGAGTGCAATGGCGAGTCCCCCCCCCAAAAAAAAATTAAATAAGGAGGGCAGAGGTACTTTCTCAAGCCAAATGGCCAGGTAGTGTATAAAGATTTGATATCTATTTTCAAATTATATTCCAAAACACAGCTATGAGAGAGAAATCTCTGCATAGTTTCTTTTCTAAAAAAAAAAAAAAAAAAAAAAAAAAAGAACTCACAGGGCGTCTCACTTAATGCTTGTTTCTTGTGGTTTCAAATTCACCATACCTGTAGTGTTTCAGTATACATCAGAAACCCTATTCTGCCAGAAAGCCCTTTGTATAGAAGGGCTTGATCAAAGGTAATATAGGGAAACCCAAGGAATTTGTTTCTAGGGACAGAAAACAACCGGACATCGTCCCAGAAAAGTGAAAAGGTTTTTTCCTCTTTCTTCTCCACAAGCTGGGCAGAGAGGAGATTCGACAAGACCACATTTGTGGAGATGCTTAGCCAGATAAGCATGTCCGGTAACAATTTGAATTACCTGGCGTAAGTTACTTCTACTGAGGTGTATGAGTTTACCTGATAAGTTAAGTGTACTGAGAACCAATTTAGAATGAGCACAGTCTGGTAGTTTAAACCATATATCATCATGTTTGTTCTTTATCCAGCTTCTTACTTCTTTTTTAATAGTTTGATATGAAACTGGGTAAAATGGTTCTGGGCCAGACATTGGTAGTTGCGAAGCATTTTTAGCTACTTTGTCAGCTAGTTCATTTCCAGCAAAATCACAATGACCTGGGACCCAGACTAAACTAATGGTATTATGGGCCTGAGCCAGAGAATTGAGATCTTGAGTACAGTTCAAAACACAGTTTTGTAACTTGACACGATTAGCCAGGGCAAGGATGGCTGATTGGCTGTCAGAGAGAATATATATATACTTATCAACTGTATTTTTAGCTAAGAGCTCCCTGGCGACCATATTGATCGCCAGAACCTCGGCTTGGAAAACAGTTGTTAATTTACCAAGGTATAGTTATATTCATGTACTTTTTGAAGGATGTAATCAAACGCGGGGACCACTAATGTCGCTTGAACAGAGGAGTCTTACATTTATTCTCTCGAATCGTATTCAGGGAAAATTTGCGCTTGCCGACTATAATTATCGACTATAATTTCCCTTAAATTATTAAAATTTCCCTCTTTATTTCCCTTACCTCCTCTACACTTTTCCCTTAAAATTTCCTATCCTAATACTACTGAACTACTTTTAGTTTCCTGAACTACTTTTTAGTTTCTGAGTGAAACTGTAATTCCAACCAGAGCCTCCAATAAGACGATGTCCGATAATTTATTTTTTATTTAATTATTTTGTAATTAATTTAATAATTTATTTAATTTCTATTTATCTCTTTACATTTCTTTTAATTTTGGTTTAATTATTTAAGTTTTAAGTATTTTATTTATTTATTTATTCTTTTTTTTCCTGACAATTTTCCATAGGGCTCCGGCACTTTCTAATTTTAGAAAGTAAGACCTGGTGTCTAATGGTAAAAGAAAGTGTCAAAATTCGATAGTGAGGCGGAACACAATACCACTTTTATAACATTTGGAAGAACATTAATTTGCATTAAGTTAGGTAAGAGAAATTTTACAGTTAGACGGAAGGATTTGGAAAGATTAATTAAATCTAAGTTTTAATTTTTGAGAGCTCTTTAGTGAAAAATCATTATGGATCAAATTACATGGACCTTCATTTAATAGCTTAGCTTTTGTAAGTGTTTTTGTATAGGATGACTATCTGTCCACCTATGTCTGCCTTTGAAATAACAACATCTGGGTTAAAACGAATTTCATATAAAGTAGTAGTTTTTTCCTTCGGCCACTCACTGGCAGTTTAGTCTGGGGTTCAAGTCCCGCGAACGGGCTGGATGCATGAACCTTTTCGTGGGTTGTACCATGTGTAACATGAATACGAGATAGTTTCCTTTTAAACGTCCACCACGGGGCATCTCCTCCTTTCTGTTTAGTGCCAAAAGGTGGAGCAAGTAATAAAAAGTCCTTGAATGTAATATTATAAAATTACACCGTATAATAAATATTGTACTAATATTTTCAAATTTCCATATACAAAATATGTATTACAGAGAGATTTCTATCATTTATGGCCCATTATTTTACTGTTACTTAATTTTATTGTCACTGAAGTTGTTTAAATGAGTCTGATGCAATAAAATTTACTTCAATTTTTTTAAAGGTTATGAATTTTAGGTAAGACTGCAGCTTATTATTTACAGCTAGATTCTACGAAAAATGATTGATTCACCATTTTCAAAATATATTTGCAACTTAAAAGTAACCTTATCGTTTCAGGAAACTAAAAGGAAACTTCAAATGTACTTTTGATGAAGCTGATAAGAAGTGTGGAAAAGAAGCTTCGGATGTCTTGAAAGAAATGATGGAGTCAACTACCACATTTTTGGACAAAAACTGCAATAAACTTAAACTCTCGGATTTACGTATATTACGAAGTATGCCTCACAGGCTGTATTAATTTTTAATAATTTCAATACAGCTGAATAAACATTAGGATCTTAGAATGTATTTTTCTTTATTTTGTCTTTTCGTAAATTTCCAGTCTTTTATCTTCTCTACACTATAGTGGACTAAATCTGATTTTATGGGCAACCGAAATTCAGAGTTAATGAGCAGAAGAAATCAATAACGAAATCAAACAGTTCATTGTGATAAGATAGAGTTTCATGTAAGCTGCTGTGTTAATTGTGACCATGTTAAACTGTGCTATAATAATTCAAAACCAATAAACACTGAATTCAAGCTTATCCGCGCTTATTAATATGGGTATGGTGCTTATTAGGACAGATGCATAGCCGGGAATCACATTTAATTAAAAAAAAGGATTCTAGATATTGTAGAAAAGAAAATTTTTAGGGGTTTAATATGCAGGGTTTCTCATAAATATGGGCACACTTTATAAAATCACCAAAAATCATCAAATTATCTTATCAGAGAGCAATTTGCATCTAAAGGCCTCAGAAGATTTTTTTGATAAAATACCTTACGTAAAACCTTTAAATAAAAATACCACTTTTTCATTCTATTAGAGGAGGGCAAAGAATTTTTTGTATACTCTGAGAAAAGTTCAAATTCTTACAACAGATACATGTTTGGTTACCGAAATTTCAAAATCAGTTTACAGTTTACAGGAATTTTAAAAAATCAGTTTGGTTACAGGAAAAGTGGGCAAAAATATCGCCCAAAATCAATAAATTCCATAAAAATTTGGAATAAACGCTGATGCAAATAGTAAAATTAAGTTTGTTCGTTGAGAGAAGAATTATCGATAAGCAAAGTCGTTTTAACATTAAATTAAAAAAAAAAAAAAAAAACTTAAACCTAATTTTGAAAACACCTTTACCGTTTGATCAATGTATGTTTCGCCTTTAGTATTTAGTAACTTTGAGTCTGTTAGTTCGTACATTATGCAAAATACATACACATACAAACGGACAAATTCTTTATTTTATCAAAACTTTCAAGCTCAAATGGATTAGTTGAACAAACTTGTAAACAAACTTGTAAACAAAGCAAAGGGGAAAAAAACTCTACGCACCTTACAAGAGAGGAATGTAATGTGGTTATGTATTTTGATATGATATGCAAGATGTTTTATTAAATGTAAAAAGAAGAAAAGTATAATAATAATAATAAAATTAAAGCTTTGCTTTCAAACGTTACATTGCTCCCAAAGAGACTTTTTTAACGTTTCATGTGTTGCCTTTATTTATTAAATATCACGTTCTTCGCACTTGAACCATCGATTTCACTTCAACAGCAATATCGCAAAATAATTTTAAAATGAACAAATCTTTAGAATTTCCGATATACAGTGTCGCGCCCTGAAGATAATTATTTTCCGTACAATTTTGCCATTGCTCGCTTTGAAATCGTTGAGTTTGTTAATCAAAAACTCTCAAAGTTAAACAAAATATGAAGTAGATAATAAAACAAATTCCAAATTTGGGCTTCCAGATGCCCGTATTCGGACGGAAATGTGCGTTTTTCAAAATTTGATGGTTCTAGCTACAGTTGTTTTATCACAATACGAGAAACATACATATATTTATGCAGATTCTTCATTACTTAATTTCTTTAAATATAATTAGGGCTATAATATTTGGTGGCAACAAATTGAAAAGTAAACCGACATTTATAGTGAGCCAACGCAAAGTGCCGAAACGAAATTAATAGTTGTTCTGGGCAAATTGCCCCTTTGGACTATAAAAAACCCTGAAAACTTCTAAATAGTAAAAAATACAACAAAAAAAACTTGAAAATTTTCAGATTGTATATTACGCCCAAATGGGTGTTGTACTATCTGGACGAAGCCAGCGTTTTTGATAACTGAGATGCGCTCAGCCCACACCTTCTTAAATAGAAGCCCAACTACGAGATCGTGACGTCACAAACTGGCGGCTGACAATCGCCGTTGTTGACCTACTATCTTCCTTTAAAGTATATTTGTTTTTAAAGCTTTACTAACAGGAGGGTATTTTCTAATGATGTAGATACATATTATTTTTCGTTTTTTGCTTTATATATATATTGAAAATATATATTTTCAATTCATTTTTCAATCATCAATTCATTAGCGGATATTATTGGAAACATTTTCCTTTGCACAAAATATATTATATATTATTAATTTTTCTATGATCTTATATTGTATGTTTACAGTTAAAATAATGCTTTAAAGTACTGGTTGACTTTTGATAAGTAACAGTAAGGTAATGTTGAAATCTCCCTCCATACTAATAATATTCAAGTCACTTAACTGCATAAAAAATATATAAAAAGGATATGGAGAAATATTTTTAAGGATATTAGAAGTTTTAAAATTTTAGCAGGGTGGATTTATAAGCACACATGTTACACGAAAACCCTAAATTTTCTAAACCTTTTATTATTTTCACAATATATCCATGCAAAAATTGCGCTGATAATGATTTTACTGGGACAATACTTATAACATCCTTATATGAAGATCTAATACTCTGCAGCATAAAAACACAAGCAGAATTAGTAGCGTTTTCACAATTATATTTTGCTACATTCCTATTATATTTTCACCTTTGAAATCTAAGAATGGCTTAATGTGAATTTCTTCAACCATTAAAGTGACATATTATCGTTTTCGTCTAAAAAGCGGATTTTTTCCTTAGCATAATTCAGGAAATTTTCAGGAGTTTGCTCCACTTTAGGATCAACATTGTATTCAATACAGTCTTTTCAATGTAGAAGGATGTGGCAAAGTAACATATGCACTATTTTTTAAAAATTTATAGCTATGTGGAGAAATTGAAAACATCAAACTTGATAATATTAACAGATCAGAACTATACCTATTTTTATGCAGAACGAGTAATGTCAGCTGCTCAAATATAAACTGAAGTACTTTCTTTTTATGTTCAAGGTCATTTTTTTTTCTAATTTCCGAAGGCCTTGAGTTACAAATAATAAATTTTTAAAGCTTTTTTTATTATTATCACCTTTAATTTTTGCAACTTCTTTAAGCAATGAACAAAGATTATGCACATCATTAATTTTTAAAAGGAATTCATGGTTACTAATTTTTGTTAATGGAATATCTCTAAGATATGCTTCCACTTGCAGATCATCATGGATAATGACTGAACCTTTTATTATTTTCACAAATTCTGTGCTTGTCTGGAGAAAATATATACTATTTTCTTTAATCACAACTGTTAAATTATCAGGTAGCTTAACATTTTTAGACATGATGAAAGCTCACTCAGATTACTATAATTACCTAATTACTAATTTTAAAGTAATAAAAGTAGGATTTCTAGTAATGCAATTTATATTTTAACAAAACAGGTAATAGCAAGCATATGTGTGTTTGTCTCCCACTCGGGAAGGGGGGAGGGGAAGAAAAGAATTCTTAGTGACATAAGTTTTAATAATATTTGAATTTTCATGCATTAGGAATTTAAATTATTTCTTGTTTTACTTCAAACTGTGCACTTTATATTACAATTTTAAAAACCATAAGCATATTTATTGCCTTCACAGTTTCTTTAGAAAAACTTTTAAAAACAAAATACTATATTAAATATTAATCTAAATAATTTCATTTGCTGCCATATACGTATGAAGTTAAAAGTTCCAAGTTATAAAATTAATCAAAAAGTTAAAAATTAGACATTTTAAAAAGTAAGTGAATATTTAGCATGCAATTTGATATATAATTATTAACCATACAATTCAATACATAATTATACTAATCGATACGTAATTACACAATATTATACACAATGTATTCTATAAAAATGAAATTCCTTAATATTAACATATCCATTCTTTTTAAATGTAGAAGCAAATACCTTAATAAATTTAAATTTCAAATTAGGCTTAATTTACCCGAGAATACTTCCAAATGGTAAAATTTTCTCGCGGTATCGATTTTAACCATCTATGTAATACATCTTGTTGCTTAGGAAATCTACATACTGATACTTTAGAACCGTCACAATAACTTTCTCGGCATAACGGCACACAGCACTTTAAAGGCATGATTGAAATCGAAAAAAAAATATCAGTATCAAATTAAGGCGACATGGTTCACGCGCCTTCTCACGACCAAGGACGAATTTCCCCTAACTTGCTAATGCCATCTAGATGGCCTTGGTGTAGGGGCGATTTTTCGCACCCCATCGAGAAGGCCAACAGTTTGTGACGTCACTAAACTACGAGCCTTCAGTAGAAAGGCTTGTGTTTAAGAAGGTGTTGGCTCAGCCAAGTCCGAGAAGATTTTCTTCGCTTCACTAATGGTTTCACTAAAAGTGCCAGTAGCAAGAGTCTTGGGCGTATGTTTTTCCTTCTATTATGCGGCTTTGATACTTTTTTTGTTTATCCTCCTTGGGTTTAGGGAATTTACTACACCCTTTAAAACTGGAGGTGTTATTTTGGCCACAGTTTACACAAAGAAGTTTCTCTTTATTATTTTTGTCAGGGCAGTCTCTAAATTCATGGTTACCACTCTGACATTTAAAACATTGAAAGGAGCCTTGCCTCCCTTTATATTCTTCAATATTAACTTTGAGTCCACATAGATATTTGCCTTGGTAGATTGATTTGGATTCCTGAGTTTTTGGTAAAGTGATAAGAAATAGAGGAAGTTTAAAAGCTTCTCCGTTTCTTTCTCCTAGTCATTTGTTTAATGTCTTCGGTTTTATAATTTAAGTATTCTAGATTTTCCTGAATTTCTTCTATGAAGAGGAAGAATGAGCTTGTTTGTTTATAAGAGTTATTCGTAAGTCACGTGGTCTGGGAGGTCATCGGAATGTACCTGTGTGCACCATTGTGAAACGGTATTCGGACATAATCCCGACAGCCGAAATCCCGACAAGCCAAAATCCCGACAAACCAAAATCCCGACAGGGTCAAAATCCCGATTGTCCAGTATCCCGACAATGTCAAAATACCGACACGGGCGAAATCCCAATAAGGCCTAATGACCCCTTAACATACTTCCACAGCTGCAACTAGCATATGCTTTGATG